CTAGCTGCAGCTGGACAGCCTCAGTGCTAGGTGGTGCGGTACTAGTTAGCCTAGTGGCTACCTAAGACTAGCCACTGAGCTCTATTTCCATGCCTTAATAGGATTCCCTACCAGTATACTGTGGACATGTTTAATGCCTACAAGTGTTTTATTCCCAAAGGACCACGTGTATTCTTCTTTACTATTTGACTGGCTGGCCCGCTTTGGTGCTTAGTGGCTGCTGGCAGGGGACCGCAGGTTGTACAGCCAAGCGAACACTGCAGGACGGGTATTAATGACCAAGCGTTTGCCAGTACATTTTCTGTGTTCTGGCTTGTTAGGATGTTCAATCGAGGTTTACATTTATACAAATGTTGAATTATACTGCACTTTCAACTGGGTTTGTTTTCCAATTATAAAAAATTAAATAATAATAATTACAAGACATCCCAAGTGGATGGGGTTGGTCACAGGGAGCGGTGGGGAACGTAAATATTATAATTGTTTTATTATTATTTTAATTATCCTTACAATATGTATATTGCATAAGATACATTAGAGAACTGAGGTGGTTCCCTCCAGAATCCCTTCCCTATGTGTAAACTTGATTATGTTCGCCCTGGATAGAGATCTACTGAGGTTCGGTTTAACATGGTAGTATCTTGCTCTAGTCTAGGAGAGGGAGATGCAGCCTTCCAACATGGGGAAGGCCAGCATAGGTTTTTTTTGTTGCTGTTTTTTATTTTATTTATATTGTATTACCTTTCAGCACACTGGCCATGTGATTGTACTAACATTCATTTCTAATTTCTATGACTATGCCTAATTCATGTACTCTAGGCTCCACTAGCTTTATCAGCTGGAACTTAAATGGAATTAACCATGTGGTCAAGCATAGCTGAGTGTATGCTCATCTTAAGTCTTTAAATCCGGACATTGTTTTTCTCCAAGACACCCATCTCTGTTCCAGCGACCATGATAAACTAAAGAGAGGATGGGTTGACCAAATATTTCACTCTAAATTTGGTGCTAAGGGTTAGAGGGCCAGCCATCCCATATCAGAAAAGGCACACCGTTTGTCTCCTCCAAAGTAATTTCAGATACTAATATGTTATAGTGATGGGGGAATTGTTTAACACACAGGTTGCTCTGGCTAACCCAATTGGGATGACACTAATTTTTTCTCTGACCTCATTGCAATACTTCAATTCTCATCATTTGATATTGGGTGAAGATTTCAATTGTGTACTACAGCCAAGTCTAGACAGATCCAGACCGAAGCCCAACAATGAAATTTCAAATCAGGTGCAGTAATCAACTCATTTTTAGAATCCTATAATTTGTCTGATCCATGGAGGAGGACCAATCCCACTGCTAAACAGTGTTCCTTTTTTTCTCCAGTCCACTGCTCATACTCTAGGATTTACTTTTTTCTTGCTGGACAATAGAATTCTTCCTTTTGTAACTAATAGCCAATATCACAGCATCTTTATCTCAGACCATAGCCCTGTCCAGCTAGATATTCACTTTCCGGACAGTACTGCGTCACAACGCGCGAGGCGACTTGACCCACTACTACTATCCTGTAGTGCCTTTAAAAAAAGACATATCAACTCACATTGATGTCTTTTTACAGATCAACTGCACCACGGACATGTCTCATTCTACTGTGTGGGAGTCGTTAAAAGCATCTCTAAGTCAGCATATCAGTGAAGAGGCGACTCCGGGATGCTGACCTAGGCAGAGTTGCAAAGAAAAAGCCATATCTCAGACTGGCCAATAAAAATAAAAAATTAAGATGGGCAAAAGAACACAGACACTGGACCTTTTCTTTGCAACTCTGCCTAGGTCAGCATCCCGGAGTCGCCTCTTCACTGTTGACGTTGAGACTGGTGTTTTGCGGGTACTATTTAATGAAGCTGCCAGTTGAGGACCTGTGAGGGGTCTGTTTCTCAAATTAGACACTAATGTATTTGTCCTCTTGCTCAGTTTTGCACCGGGGCCTCCCACTCCTCTTTCTATTCTGTTTAGAGCCAGTTTGCGCTGTTCTGTGAATTGAGTAGTACACAGCGTTGTACGAGATCTTCAGTTTCTTGGCAATTTCTCGTATGGAATAGCCTTAACTTCTCAGAACAAGAATAGACTGACACGTTTCAGAAGAAAGCTATTTGTTTCTGGCCATTTTTATCCTGTAATCGAACCCACAATTGCTGATGCTCCAGATACTCAACTAGTCTCAAGAAGGCCAATTGTATTGCTTTTTTAATCAGCACAACAGTTTTCAGCTGTTCTAACATAATTGCAAAAGGGTTTTCTAATGATCAATTAGCCTTTTAAAATGATAAACTTGGATTAGCAAACACAACGTGCCATTGGGTACTCCTGAGTGGCGCAGTGGTCTAAGGCACGGCATCGCAGTGCTAACTGTGCCACTAGAGATCCTGGTTTGAATCCAGGCTCTGTCGCAGCCGGCCGCGACCGGGAGACTCATGGGCGGCGCACAATTGGCCCAGCGTCGTCCAGGGTAGGGGAGGGAATGGCCGGCAGGGATGTAGCTCAGTTGATAGAGCATAGCATTTGCAACGCCAGGGTTGTGGGTTCGATTCCCACGGGGGCCAGTATAAAAAGAAAAAATATATATATATGTATTCACTAACTGTAAGTCGCTCTGGATAAGAGCATCTGCTAAATGACTAAAATGTAATTGGAACACAGGACTGATGGTTGCTGATAATGGGCCTCTGTACGCCTATGTAGATATTCCATTAAAAATCAGCCGTTTCCAGCTACAATAGCCATTTACAACATTAACAATGTCTACACTGTATTTCTGATCAATTTGATGTTATTTTAATGGACAAATTATTTTATTTCGAAAACAGGACATTTCTAAGTGACCCCAAACTTTTGAACGGTAGTGTATATATGTTTATAGATGAGTATGGGGAACACAATCACTATAATGAAATAATATTCCCCATACTCATCTATAATACTATGTGGATCAATAGGGAATAAGACATAAACTATACTAATATATATTACATATACACATATATAGAAATCAAAGACACATACAATACCAGTCAAAGCGTGTGCAAAGCTGTCATCAAGGCATAGGGTGGCTATTTGAAGAATCTCAAATATATTTTGTTTTGTTTAACACTTTTTTGGTTACTACTTGATTCCATATTTTAGTCATTTAGCAGAAGCTCTTATCCAGAGCAAATTACAGTTAGTGAGTGCATACATTTTTTTTTTATACTGGCCCCCGTGGGAAACGAACCCACAACCCTGGGGTTGCAAGTGCCATGCTCTACCAACTGAGCTACACGGGGCCCATATGTGTTATTTCATACTTTTGATGTGTTCACTATTATTCTACAATGTAGAAAATAGTAAAAATAAAGAAAAACCCTTGAATGAGTAGGTGTTCTAAAACTTTTGACTGGTAGTGTACCTTAAATGAATATGCGAGAAGCAAAAACGTATTTTACTTACTGATCTAAAAAAGTCACTTTACTTTCTCCTTCTTTCTTGCATGCAGGACTCCTCGTGTCACTCTCAATTTCTGCATTAATCTCTTCCAAATCTGTATACCTGGACTTCAATTGAGCTTTTCCAGTGTTAGTAGCCATGTTGTACTTTCTACATTTGCAGAAAACTTTGTATAACTAAATCGAGTTGCGCGTAATCCAAAACGCCTCTTTTGTTCTTTAGATTTCAATGGACACTGAATCTGTTGCGTGCAGGCTGAGCACAAAGGCTTTTCCTCAGACAATGGACCATCACATACTCACGTAAAGCCCAGCTCATTGGCTATCTAGCTAGCTATGTTTCAAAACGATAGGTGGTCATTGGACCAAGGTACAGTCAATCAAGTGAACAACGCCCATCTCATTGGTGCGTAATGATGTCTGTCCTTCGTGGGCTAAAATAGGTTTTGTATACTGTCAGATGTGCCCTTGAGCAAGGCACTTAACCCTAATGTAAGTCGCTCTGGATAAGAGCGTCTGCTAAATGACTAAAAATGTAAAATGTAAAATGTATAGGCAATATGTAATGTAGAATGATGAAGCAAAGTCTGGTTACCTTCTAGAGTGTCTGAGGATTACATAGAAACCGAACTTGACTGGGTGAAACAAGGTTTAGTGTTTCGATTTTCATAGATTGTTTCTTTGCAAATTGAAAGAGTCGGAATACAACATAGATCGTGCATACAACATGGATCGTGTTAGGATATAAAAATTGATTTTATCAAACAAAACTATGCTATATTTTATCTCTGGGACCCTCAGGATGACAAATCAGAGCAAGATTATTGAATGTAAGCACATTATTTGCCGTCAGCGGTGAATGTATCAAACCAGTTGCCTTGATAAAAGTGTTTTGTTGTTGTGCACTATCTTCAAACAATAGCATGGTATTTTTTCGCTGTAATAGCTATTGTAAATTGGTCACTGCAGTTAGATTAACAATAATTTAAGCTTTCTGCCCATATAAAACATGTCTATGTCCGGGAAAGTTGGTTGTTGTTTACAATGTCATTTTAGTCACATTATCGCACATTGAGCAACAACTGTCCCGATTTCGGAACACCGATCCAGTAGAGGTTTTAAAAAGGATAAGAATCCCCTAGACTGTGGCTCATACCGCCCTATAAGCCTCTTTTGCTGTGATTATAGAATTCTCACTAAAGACCTCTTGCGCTGTTTAGAGACAGTGATGCATAATATATGTAACTCTGACCATACCGGCTTTAACTCAGGTAGGTAATCTTTCTATAATATGCGTCGGCTATTTCATGTTCTTTATTCTGCCCACTCTACTCAACAGCCAGAGGTCATCATCTCTCTTGATGCTGAGAAGGCATTTCGACCAGGTTGAGTGAGAATATGTATTTGGGGGGGGGGGGGGGGGCTACATCCTTGTTCAAGCAGGTTAGGAGAATTAAGGTAGCAGGTCAGGATAATTAACGTGGCAGGGTAGGAGAACTACCATAGCAGGTTAGGATAATTAACATGGCAGGTTAGGATAATTAACGTAGCAGGTTAGGATAACTAATGTAGCAGGTCAGGGGAACTAACATAGCAGATTAGGAGAATGAAGTTAAGGTTATTTTTCTAATGTAATCCAATCTATTAGTTGTATTTATTGCACCCATTACTGAAATGGTTGTGTAGGCCAGCCCAACAGATAACTTCACTTTTGTCAACACTCTATGCAAAAGGTTTTATTGTCTTCTTAGGAATTCAGCCTCATCCGTTTTGCTCTCACCATCCCCCATTATGTCACACCTCTGTTGTGATAACATCCTGTAGGTCTGATATCTGATTGGAGGTTAACTTTACAGCAATAATATTGATCAACAACTCAGATTTTGAATCCAAACATGGTCAAATGGTGATAAAAGGGTCTTAGCGTCATTGTCTTTTTCTCTTTGTTCCTGACCTGGTGTGGGGAGATACACTCTCCCTTTCCTCTCCAGGGATTCTTGGGGGCATGGCTTTTCAGGCTTCCTTCTCTCTCTCCCTCTCTGATCATGCCTAGAATAATGTCTTGTAATGCTTGTTGATGCTTTGTAACTTAAGTTTATGCCTTGTATGTGAATCAATTTATTTAACAGTTGTATTAAATCTGTTTGCCTTTAGAGTTCCATTCTCAGACCTTTCTTGATCTTTCTATTACTGTAACTAAACAATAGTCCTGCTTGCTAAATCCTCTTTATGGAGTCAAATCAACATTAATTTATTTGAGAAAAAAAATTAACCCCCTTTTTCTCATATCTAATTACGATCTTGTCTCATCGCTGCAACTCCCCAACGGGCTCGGGAGAGGCAAAGGTCGAGTCATGCATCCTCTGACACATGATCCGCTAAGCCGCGCTTCTTAACACCCGCTCGCTTAACCTGGAAGCCAGCTGCACCAATGTGTCGGAGTCAGCTTGCAGGCGCCCGGCCCGCCACAAGGAGTCGCTAGAGCACGATGAGCCAAGTAAAGCCCCCCTGGCCAAACCCTCCCCTAACCCGGACGACGCTGGGCCATTTGCACACCGCCCTGTGGAACTCCCAGTCACAGCCAGTTGTGACACAGCATGGGGTTGAACCCCAGGCTGTAGTGACGCCGCAACACTGCGTGTTGTTTAATAGACTTTGTTAACATAGAAATTACATACTCTTATTATGGGTCGAATGTGAGATATGTATATATAATATCATATACTGTATGATAAATATTACCCACTACAGTTGTTACAGTTTAGATGGTTTAGGTAGTCTCATTTATTAATCTTTCTAACCCTGGCAGTCATTCTGGATGCAGATTGTCGGAATCCACTCTGGCTGGATTCCAGTAGGAATTAAACATCACTTTGCAAGCCAAAACACAACGAAGACTGGCCACCAGAAAAACACAGCGAAGGCTGGTCACCAGCGAAAACACAACAAAGGCTGGTCTGCCAGTGAAAACAAAACCAAGGCTGGTCTGCCAGCATAACCAACTAGACCATGCTGGTCAGCCAGCCGAACCAGCTAGACCATGCTGGTCAGACCAGCTTGACCAGCATTCGCCAAGCACTGACCAGCATAGAAAAGCATGGACCAGCTTGAAATGTATGATGGTCTATGCTGTTTTCTTCAGCAGGGTCACCCCAGAGAAAGAACCCCTCAATAAACTTTTTATTTTTTGAGTGTAGGGGTACTTTATTGAGTAGACTAAAATATTTCAGTCTGAAAGCTAACAGAAGAACAACAGAGGATACAACAGCTGTTTGGCTACTCTGCTCTGCAGTACACATGTCTCCCTATTTTGTTTGGAATCTGTTTAACAGTTGGTCTTCTGTTTATCGGTTTGATTCTCTGTCTGTCTTTCTGTGTCTACCTGTTGTCTTGTGTGTAGCAGCTTGAATGTCTGTCCGTGTGTCTGTCTGTCTGCCCATCTGATTCTCTGTCTGACTGCTATCCTATCTTTTAGTCTGTCTGTTTGATTCTCTGTCTGTCGGATTCTTTGTCTATACATCTGTCTGTCTGTATCTCTGTATCTGTCTCTCCCTCTCTGATCTCTCCCTCTCTGTCTGGTATGTCTGTATAGGAGCACCCCTCTAGTCTCTCCATGGTGGACCTGCTCAACGTGGCCAGAGATATCGCACAGGGATGCCAATACCTGGAGGAGAACCAGTTTATACACCGGTAGGCCTACTGTGGTAGAAAAACATACATGGACGTACACTACGTGACCAAAAGTATGTGGACATCTGCTCATCGAACATCTCATACCAAAATAATGGGCATTAATATGGAGTTGGTCCCCCATTTGCTGATATAACAGCCTCCACTCTTCTGGAAGGCTTTCCACTAGATGTTGGAACATTGTTGCTGGGACTTGCTTCTATTTAGCCACAAGATCATTGGTGAGGTCGGGCACTGATGTTGAGCGATTAGGCCTGGCTTGCAGTTGGTGTTCCAATTCATCTCAAAGGTGTTTGATGGGGTTGAGGTCAGGGCTCTGTGCAGGCCAGTCAAGTTCTTCCACACCGATCTCAACAAACTATTTCTGTATGGACCTCGCTTTGTGCACGGGGGCATTGTCATGCTGAAACAGGAAAGGGCCTTCCCCAAACTGTTGCCACAAAGTTGGAAGCACAGAATCGTCTAGAATGTCATTGTATGCTGTAGCGTTAAGATATCCCTTCACTGGAACAAAGGGGCCTAGCCCGAACCATGAAAAACAGCCCCAGACCATTATTACTCCTCCACCAAACTTTACAGTTGGCACTATGCATGGAAACCCATTTCATGAAGCTCCCGACGAACAGTTATTGTGCTTACGTTGCTTCCAGAGGCAGTTTGGAACTCGGTAGGGAGTGTTGCAACCAAGGACAGACAATTTATACGTGCTATACGCTTCAGCACTCGGCGGTCCCGTTCTGTGTGCTTGTGTGGCCTACCACTTCGCGGCTGAGCCGTTGTTGCTCCTAGACGCTTCCACTTCACAATAACAGCACTTACAGTTGACCGGGTCAGCTCTAGTAGGGCAGAAACTTTACGAACTGACTTGTTGGAAAGGTGGCATCCTATGACGGTGCCACGTTGAAAGTCACTGAGCTCTTCAGTAAGGCCATTCTACTGCTAATGTTTGTCTATGGATATTGCATGGCTGTGTGCTCAATTTTATATACCTGTCAGCAACGGGTGTGGGTGAAATAGCCGAATCCATTAATTTGAAGGGGTGTCCACATACTTTTGTATATATAGTGTAAGTGTGTGCACATAGTATTCACATATAGTCAAACCAGCACAATATGCCGTGACAGACACATACTCTTTCTTACACACATACTAATTTTACCCACTTATACACACAGGCAAACACACGTGCGCACGCACGCATGCACAAACACACACACACAAAGACACAGTCCACCACATTCACACCCTCCCAAACAAATGCAAACACATTCTCAAACTACAACAACATATGGGTGTTCACATACACTCACCGGCCAGTTTATTAGGTACACCACCCTGTTCACGAAAATGGATCACTTTGAGTGATGTGGCCATGGCTTGCTATATAAAGCAAGCAGACAGGCATTGATGCATTCAGTTGCTGTTCGATTGAACGTTAGAATGGGCAAAACAAGTCAGTTATAGTCACAGCTGTGTATATTCCCCCTCAAGCCGATACCACGACGGCCCTCAAGGAACTACACTGGACAACACATCAACTGTAGTACTCGCTCTTCAAACACTCTCTCTCCCTTCCGGGATGGCTACAAGGACATCCCTTGCCTTCCCTTCGGCAAATCAGATCATTACATTTACATTTTAGTCATTTAGCAGACGCTCTTATCCAGAGGGACTTACAGTTAGTGAGTGCATACATTTTTTTTCATACTGGCCCCCCATGGGAATCAAACCCACAACCCTGGCGTTGCAAGCACCATGCTCTACCAACTGAGCTACACGGGACTCCATTCTGCTCCTCCCTTCTTATAGGCAGAAACTCAAACAGGATGTAACCTATTCAACGCTGGTCTGACCAATCGGAATCCATGCTTCAAGATTGTTATGTTCATGCGGACTGGGATATGTTCCGGGTTGCCTCTGTGAATAACATTGACGTATACACTGACACGGTGACTGAGTTCATCAGGAAGTGTATAGGGGATGTTGTTCCCACTGTGACTATTAACACCTACCAAAACAAAAACCATGGATAGATGGCAGCAATCGCACAAAACACCCCCAGGTGGTGAAGGTAGGAAACAACACCTCCACTACGCTGATCCTCAACCCAGGGGCCCCACAAGGGTGCGTGCTCAGCCCCCTCCTGTACTCCCTGTTCACCCATGACTGCATGGCCACGCACGCCTCCAACTCAATCATAAAGTTTGCAGACGACACAACAGTAGTAGGCCTGATTACCAACAATGGTGAGACAGCCAACAGGTAGGAGGTGAGGGCCCTGGCGGAGTGGTGCCAGGAAAATAACCTCTCCCTCAACGTCAGCAAAACGAAAGAGCTGATTGTGGACGTCAGGAGACAGCAGAGGGAGCACGCCCCCATCCACCTCGATGGGACCGCAGTGGAGAAGGTGAATAGCTTCAAGTTCCTGACAATCTGAAATGGTCCACCCACACAGACAGTGTGGTGAAGAAGGCGCAAATTCGGCTTGGTCCCTAAGACCCTCACAAACTTTTACAGATTCACCATTGAGAGCATCCTGTCGGTCTATATCACCACCTGGTACGGCAACTGCACCGCCAGCAACCACAGGGTGGTGCGGTCTGCCCAACACATCACTGGGGGCACACTGCCTGCCTGCCCTCCAGGACACATATAGCACCCAATGTCACAGGAAGGCCAAAAAGATCATCAAGGACATCAACCACCCGAGCCATGGCCTGTTCACCCTGCTATCATATAGATGGCGAGGTCAGTACAGTTGCATTAAAGCTGGGACCGAGAGACTGAAAAACAGCTTCTATCTCAAGGCCATCAGAGTGTTAAATAGACATCACTAGCCGGCCTCCACCCAGAACCTCACCCTGAAGTTGGTCACCGTCAATAGCCGGCTACCACCTGGTTACTCAACCCTGCACCTTAGAGGCTGCTGCCCTATGTACTGTACATAGACATGGAATCACTGGTCACTTATGTAATGGAACACTGGTCACTTTAATAATGTTTACATAATGTTTTACTCCTTTCATATGTATATGCTGTATTCTACTGTATTCTAGACAATGACACTCCGACATTGTTCATCCTAACATTTAATATATTTCTAAATTCCATTATTTTACTTTGACATTTGTGTGTATTGTTGTGAATTGTTAGATACAACTGCACTGTTGGAGCTAGGAACACAAGCATTTCGCTACATCCGCAATAACATCTGCTAAATATGTGTATGTGACCAATAAAATGTGATTTGATTGGAATTGAACACACACACACCTCTGTAAGGTTCTTCTTGTCTTGTCACTTTGCAGGGACATTGCAGCTCGGAACTGCCTGCTGACCACCAAAGGACAGGCGAGAGTGGCCAAGATAGGGGACTTTGGAATGGCCAGGGACATTTACAGGTACTGCCATCACGCAAACTCTTTAAACCCAGCTACTATAAAGGTATACCTCTTTGGTCTGGGGTGGTCTGGCGGTCTGGGCCGCTGTACAAGCATGGGTTTGAGTCCGGCCTACTGCTATTTCAGCACTCTCTCTTCTACATTTCACCTCTATCCAAACATGACAAAATAGTGGGACTGTCCCAAATCTTCGCCCAGGTCTAAAGTTGTTTGCACTCTGAAGCAGGTTCTCATCAAAGATTTGTCTGTATTTTTCTCCATTCATTGTTCCGTCTATCTTTACCAGTCTCCCAGTCCCTGCTGCTGAAAAGCATCCCCATAGCATGATGCTTCCACCACCATGCTTCACAGTAGGGATGGTGTTAGATGGGTGATGAGCTGTGCCTGGTTTTCTCCAGACATAGCGCTTTGCATTCAGGCCACAGACAGGGTGTGGTACCTCGTATGTCTAAAGTTTAGTAATGATGTTAGGTACAGTGGGACTTTTTGTAAAAGGGCTTTATAAATGAAAACATAGCAATGTATCAACCTACGTGACATCAAAGTGGGCCAACCAACTTTCTGGTAGAGAATGCAGTGATGAGTACTAAAATTGTTGCCCGTAATAAAGCACAGTGTGCCATGATAAACTGCATCTAATGGCTTTAATGAAGTGGCAGTTGCGTTCATATAGATGATGTCGCCATAGTGTAGGACCGATAAGAACATCGACTGAATAATCTGCTTTCTACTATTTAGCGAGACCTGTTTCTATAGAAGAAGCCCATTTTTATTCTCAGCTTCTTAACTAACTCATCAATATGCTTTAAAAGACAGCTTTTCATCTAACCAGATGCCCAGATACAGTATTTGTAAGCACATACACGATCAATATGGACACCATCCAAAGTACATACAGTATGCTTAAATCATCAGACTTATTTTTATGCGCTCTAGAGAACAACATATACTTAGTTTTACCTGCATTCAGTGCTAATTTCAGGTCAATAACGTTTTTCTGTAATACAATGAAGGCAGACTGTAGTTCAGATAGAGCCTGGTCAACCGTGGGGGCAATAGCATACACAACAGTATCATCGGCATACATGTGCAGGTACATTATCTTTTACAGACAAGTCGATATTGTTAATGTAAACAGTAAAAAGTACAGGACCCAGAATCTACCTCTGCGGGACACCATTCATAATATCCAGGAAACCTGATTTAACACCATTAGTAGATATGAATCGAGTTCTATCTGTCAAGTAATTTTTAAACCAGTTACATGCAGCCTGGTCTAGGCCAATTGAGGAAAGCCTCTGAATTAGCAGTGAGTGATCAACATTATTGAAAGCCTTTGACAGGTCAATGAAGAAGGCAGCACAATGCTGCCTTTCATCCATACAGTTAACCACATCATTTATAACTAGGGATGCAGCAGAGATAGTGCTATGACCTGGTCTAAAACCCGACTGAAAGTTTAGAAATAGGCCAATAATTATTTAGGTCACAAGGGTCACTACCTTTGTTAAGAGGGAGCACATGAGCCACCATCCAAACCTTGGGGATAGTACCAGATATAATTGTCAGGTTAAAAATATGGATTAATGATTCAACAATCAGAGGGGCAGAGAGCTGCAGCAAAAATGGATCAAGCATATCAGCTCCAGTGGATTTGTTTTTACATCAATCTTAAGCAAGGGATGTAGCACATCACAGATAGTAAATTGTTGAAATGAAAACAAAGATTCACTAAAATGTACTAGATGTTATTAACTTGATGTTATTGATCATAATTTGTTATTGGAAAAACTCACTTATATCTTCACATCACCTGCCATGCTTGGAGAGTTACTTATCCAATAGAACTCAGAGAGTATTCTTCAATGGAAGCTTCTCTAACATCAGATATGTACAGTGCGGTATCCCTCAGGTTAGCTGACTTGGGCCGTTACTTTTCTTTATTTTACAAATTATTTGCCACTTGTCTTATAAGAAGATAAAATGCTGATGATTGCACAGTCTACACATCAGCACCTACAGCCAGTGAGCTCACTGAGACTCTTAGCAAGGAGTTACAGTCAGTGTCAGAATGGGTAATTAACAATAAACTGGTCATAAATACATCTAAAACCAAAAGCATTGTATTTGGTTCAAAGCATTCTAGACCTAAACCTCAACTGCAGTTGTGCATAAATGGTGTGACCATTGAAGAAGTTGAAGAAGCTGAACTCCTTGGAGTAACATTGGATGGTCTGTTATCAGGGTCAAGTCATATTGACAAAGTTGTTGTGAAGATGGGGAGAGGTATGTATGTCTGTTATAAAACATATATTCTGCATTTTTTACACAAAGATCAAGGCTTTGATCTTGTCCCAACTTGATTACTGTCCGGTAATATGGTCAGGTGCAGCAAAGAAAGACTGCACTTGGGTCACGCCCTGACTCTGGGGACTCGTATTTGTTGAGTCAGGGTGTGTATTTTTCTGTGTGGTATGTTCTATGTTGCATTTTCTATGTTTAGATCTAGATCGTGTAGATCTATGTTGGCCGGTGTGGTTCCCAATCAGAGGCAGCTGTAGCTCGTTGTCTCTGATTGGGGACCATACTTAGGTAGCCTATTGGCACTAGTGGGTTGTGGGATCTTGTTCCGTGTTAAGGTATGTTGTGTTGCCTTGGACTTCACGGTTCGTTTTGTTTGTTATTTTGTCGTTGTGTTTGATATCTAATAAACATGTATGCATATCACGCTGCGCCTTGGTCCGTCCCGTCTATAAACGAACGTGACAACTTGGCTCAAAACAAAGCAGCACACCTTTCCCTTAACTGCACACACATAAATAACATCAACAACATGTATGATAGTCTTTCATGGACTCTGGAGCAGTGGAAACACGTTCTCTTGAGTGATGAATCACGCTTCACCATCTGGCAGTCCGGTGGACGAATCTGGGTTTGGCGGATGCCGGGAGAACGCTACCTGCCCCAATGCATAGTGCCAACTGTAAGGTTTGGTGGAGGAAGAATAATGGTCTGGGGCTGTTTTTCACGGTACGGGCTAGGACCCTTAGTTCCAGTGAAGGGAAATCTTAACGCTACAGCATACAATGACATTCTAGACAATTCTGTGCTTCCAAATTTGTAGCAACAGCTTGGGGAAGGCCCTTTCCTGTTTTCGCATGACAATGCCCCTGTGCACAAAGCGAGGTCCATACAGAAATGGTTTGTCGAGATCAGTGTGGAAGAACTTGACTGGCCTGCACACAGCCCTGACCTCAACCCTTAGTTGTCCCTTGGTGTCTTTCCTGTATATAACTCTTATTTTACTTGTCATTTACATTTATTTGTACGTTTTATGTGGACCCCAGGAAGAGTAGCTGCAGCATGTACAGTAGCTAATGGGGATCCTAATAAACTAAACTAAACCCTCCAGGAGGAGTCTCTTCACAGTCCCCAAGTCCAAAATGAATACATGGCAATGCACAGTTTTATACAGAGCCATGATTGCATGGAACTCCCTTCCATCTCCAATTACTCAAGCAAACAGAAAAATTACCTCTAAAAAACTGACTAACAATAACTCATGGAATGGCGGACATACAAGCACACACACAGACACACTCTAACACATGCATCATGTTTTAGTTGTATTGTTTGTGTAATTTTTTAGTTGTATTCTTTGTATATCATTTTATTTGGGTGACTTTCCTTGGCTATCAGTGTATCAGTGTTTAGTTACTTGTCATGTTTTGTGTTTTTTGTGGACCCCTGGAAGAGTAGCTGCTGCTTCTGCAAAGGCTAATGGGGATCCAAATGAACAAATAAATGCTAAATTGGCGTCCATCTGCCTGAGAAAAAAAAGATGGGGTATTTAGAAAATTCTGTTGCTATGAAAACATGGGTTTTTTGTTATGATGAGGACACCTCATGCCAATTCAAGACATGGAAATGGTTACAGAAATGGTACCACAAAACTCCACATCCAGGTATGAAGCAGTCTTATTATTAGTGTCTATCTAGAGTAGGGGCTTTGAAACATTTCTTGCCTAGAGACCCCCGCCCAGGCAAACAGCCGACCCAGGGACCCCCATCATATGTTAGCAAAACAATTGTTATCATGTCTTATCATCAGGTGAATGATAATGGCAGTAGAAGTAATCTACATTTTAAAATGAATAGATTTGGTAGACAGTTTCATTATTTTGACCTCCCCACAGATCATTGGAAGAGGAAGTATAAACTCTAACATAGTCTATTAGCTATGAATTTTCAGCAATTCTACACAGTTTGGCATGGCGCTGAGAGACAATTTTGCAGTTTTAAAGCTAATTTCCTGCAATTCTATGCAATTTGCCATGGCTAATGCTGTGTTCCTCTGCTCAATCATTATAACAAAATCAATGGGCATGAGCCCTGAATGCCCAGCTTTTGAATTTTAGATTCTCCATGACTATCTAGCTTTTATTTGATTGCTAGTTCTCAAAGATCTTTTCTGCATGCTTTCTATCTGGTTTTGGTCGTTTAAGTTGATACTGAAACGTTTTTTCCATCCCGAAAATGACCACTTAGACCAGTGTTTCCCAACCCCAGTCCTCGTGTACCCTCAACAGTACACATTTTCATTGTAGTCCTGGACAAACACACCTCATTCAACTCATTGAGGGCTTGATCATTAGTTGACAAGTTGAATCAGGTGTGCTTGTCCAGGGTTACAATGAAAACATGTACTGTTGGGGTTACTCGAGGACCACGGTTGGGAAACACTGACTTAGACGGCCCGCCTAAGAATTTTCTATATATAACAAACCTTGTAATTAGCTCAAATGACTGTAATTTACTCCATGTTAAAGGGATAGTTTGAGATTTTGGCAATGAAGCCATTTATTTACTACCCCAGAGTCAGATGAACAGGAACTGTTAGCATGTGAACTGTTCCTGTAGACTTCCAGTCATTGCAGCAAGCCATATTCATAAAATAATTATTTTTCATATAAAAAATCCCCCAAAATATTTTTTTATATATAATAATTGCAGACATCCTGCAGCACCTCTGCAGACCCCTAGGGGACCGCAGACCCCAGTTTGAAAACCCCTGATCTAGAGAACACAGGCACTGTTCCCGTAGCTACCAGAGTTATCTGGCTACCTAGCTACGCTAGCCTGCTGTAGCACATAGTTAGCTAGTGCTACAACCAACAGAAAAAAGCACATTTTTACCTTCAAAGTTAGTAACTAGCTAGCTACTAACATTATTTAACTGTAATAAACAGGGCATTGTGGAAGAAAGATAGTTAGCTAGATAGGCTAGCAGTAGCTACAATATTTGCAGGGAAGAAAATACAAATACAATACATGTGTTATTTAATTACTTCTTATTTTTTGGAAGGGGCTGTGAATATATTTTTATTTATCTCTGTGTTATCTTGTACACTTCTTTTTATTTTTTATTTCATTAGAGATGTAGAATTTTATTATTTTACTTTTCAATTCTTTTGACAAATAAAATCATGTTGATATAGTAAACACTTGGGGAGAATTCCGCCGCGAGTTAAGAGCGCGTAAATGGAACGTAATTCCCTTTTCATGCACTTTTCTCTCTACGTGTACTCTGACTTTGAATTTAAACATGATAATTAATTCCTACTAATTCCACCATCTTTACGTGCGAGGAAACACTAAATAAGGTCGAGCGAACCTGCCGGTTCCAAGTGGGAAAAGCATCTAGTTAATTTATTTCGATAGAACCACCATGCACTGAGCTATTGATAACAGCTAGGTAAATTAGTCATCTGTTTGGAGAAGGGGATTGTAAATACACATATCCTAGCAATTGTTTTAGACAATTTCTCGTTATGATCCCTGGAGACAAATGTAAAACCAGTCATATGGAAGCAAACAGAAATTCACATCAACATGACATGTTTTGCGGCCCCTTTTCCACAGTGAAGTAGGCTATAAATAGCAGTGCTGTTATTCCGAATTTGAATTTTCTGTCCTCAGAATTTGCAGGGAAGAAATTTGGAGACCCGGGCTTTTCTCAGTATCATGTTAAGTATTAGCCACTGTCGGGAGCCACCATCGGTAATACCCACATACATTTATAACTAACTTTAGTGTTAGTTTCCTTTAAATTGTAGCTTACATTTTGCATAATTCCCTTCCATTTTACCTTTCTTTCCTCTGTCACATCTGTGTAGTTGTTCCTGAGGTTCACTAGCAATAGTGGGTCATGTTAGGCTATCGTTGTAGAATAATTATGGAACAGACCGCACTTAGCAGCTTAAACCTGGAGCTTGGTGCATGGTTCACGACGACTGGACCGTTGTCATACAGTTCCATGATGAGTAAGGGTAGAGTTATAGGACTATTGGGGCTGTAACAATGGTGAGGTGTGATTGTCAGGATAACTTAATGGCATGTCTCAGGCATTCAGGATCCTTAGTCTCCACCGAGTGTTGTTAACGCCCCATGTTCCCCTTATACTACATTGGATGGAGAAACCAACTTTTGAGTGTTCAGAGATAAAACACTTAAGTTCTTCCAACTGGCGTGGAAGTGGCTAGAGTCTTCAGAGGTTGAAGGATAATTAGGAGTCTGAAACTAGCTTATTTCTCCATTTATTTTCCTACTTTTCTTTCCATCACTTTCTTTTCTCTGTTTTCATCCCCTTTTTCTAACTGCTGTGCTGTCAATCAAGTCATGCAGCAGGTCTAACAAGATCACCCCTGTGTGTGTGTGTGTGCGCACGGGTGTGTCTCCACACAGGGCGAGCTACTACAGAAAGGGTGGGCGCGCCATGCTGCCTGTGAAGTGGATGCCTCCCGAAGCGTTCATGGAGGGGATCTTCACGTCCAAAACGGACACGTGGTACGTTCCATTGTAAATCACTCTCAATGATGTCTTAGTTCTCTTGAATTTCACCCTTCCAGTCTACCTCACCTCCCTCTTTCTGTTCTTCAATGGAACTTTCTATTTTTCACCTTTTGAAAGCCTCCTCTCTTTTACTCCATCTGCAATCCTCCGTCCTTCCTTCACCCCTCACTTTGCCCTTATCACCCTTAAGAATTACGATTCTCTCTCACGTCTAAAAAATAAATAAAAAGTATTCCTCTCTTGCTCCTCACCTACTTCTCTCTCCCCCCCCCTCTCGCTTTCCTTCTTCCTCCCACCTCTCTCTCCCACTTTCTCTCAGGTCCTTTGGGGTTTTGCTATGGGAGATCTTCTCTCTGGGATATATGCCCTATCCCAGTCGCAGTAACCAGGAAGTGTTGGAGTTTGTCACCAGCGGGGGAAGGATGGACCCTCCCAAAAACTGCCCAGGGCCCGTGTAAGTCCAATATATACACCTTGAACAATCACACACCACCCAAACACATGTAGCAGATGTGAGCTAGCAGGCTAGTGAAGCACTAGGAGCCATCATGTGGTGACGTCACATTCCTTAAGATTGAAAGCGAACTGTCGCTCAGTCAACTTCCGGGCCTGTCTGAACTGTCACTCACATAGGGATGGAACTTACTCTGTTACATACAGATTACACACACACCCTCACACTTACAGTATACTGTTTTCACTCATGCACACACATAGAATGCAGACATACACTGGGATACAAGCGTACAAACACACAAAACACCCATAACTTCTCAGACTTGCATCACGTTCTTGCCCCTCGCTGATTTTTCACGCCCCCTCCATGCATGACGAACCACTTTTATCGTCCAATTCTCCTTTGAACTCTCCCAGATGGCAGATTCTTTGCCTTTTTATCACCACAGAAAAGCCTAAATGTTTCTTCTTTGATCGTTTTTTCCCCTGAAAAATAAACACAGTCCCCATGTGGTACAATGAATCTGCGTCACGAAGGGCTCACAATAGGCATGTCACATTGCCAAATAATATTACACAAGAGTAATGATTGCAAGTCAAATCTAATTAAGAAACAAGCTTGATTTTGTAGTGACTTGGGGGGTACCCCAGGATTCCGCTTGACCCCTACTGACTTTTCAACGGTAATCACTCAAACTAGCGGGATGTTACATTTCATTCAGAATGTTTTGTATTTAATCAGTCTTGTGGTATTATGACGGGGAGGCGGCACTTTTCATAAAGTGTGCGTGAGTTTGTGTCTAAAAGTGTATTAGCGAAGGGGGAAATATGCCTTTTAATTTTCTGATGTGTTTATCAATTTGTGCAAAGTTCAAATAGAGGAAACGTTTTTGATTGTGCTTGGTGTCGTGTGTGTGTGTGTGTTTCAGGTACCGGATAATGACACAGAGTTGGCAGCATCAACCGGAGGACAGGCCCAACTTCTCCACCATCTTGGAGCGGATTGACTACTGCTTACAGGTAGGGAGTTTGAACATCGAGAGTCAACACCCATCTGCACTGGAACTGTGCTCAAGTATTAATGTCTGTTTGACTACCAAGAGGTTATTTTATTATGTAGGACTATTTTAAAATGTGATACAGCTCATAATCTGTCTGTCTATGTGTAAATGCTGTATTCCTTTTGGGATAGTTCTGTCATCTAGCCTTAACTTAAGCTCTAACTTCTAAAATGAAGTCAATGTTGGTTGCATTAGAAGTGACATTTTGAACTCTACTTTGATAAGTATGTCATTTTCTACAAATTCAGTCTTTGGTAATGTTAATGATGTCATTACTTGTTGTTCGCCATTGTTAGTATCCAATGCTCCCCTATCCTCTCCAGGACCCCGATGTGGTGACTGTTACATTGCCTGTGGAATATGGCCCCCTCCCCGAAGAGGAGGAGCGGGTGCCCATGCGCCCTGAGGACCCCACAGCCTCTCCCCTGCTGGTGTCCACTCAGATGCCCGACGGAGAGGGCCCTGCACCGGCACCCTCTGCCCCCGACCCCAACGAGGAGAACCGAAGAGTCGAGCAGCCCCTCCTCCTTTCCAGCCAACCCCCCGAAACTGCCAAGCCCCAGGCGATGGCGCAACAACCCCAGTCCTACCCCAACCCTCACCCCCAGACCTTCCCCACGACCACCATCACAGCCACCTCCTTCATCTCCACCTCCAAGGCGCCTCCCCCCATCTCCATCCAGCAGCCCAACCCAGAGGGGGGCCACATCAATCTGGCCTTCACCCAGGGCCACCCTAAGGATAAGGAGGGTCGCAATGGGAAGCCCACCAACCTGTGGAACCCCACCTACGGCTCCTGGTTCCTCCAGCAACAGCAGAAGAAGCAGCAGCAACAACAGCAGCAGCAGCAAAGGCAGGGAGGCATGGGCAGTGGAGGTGAGGGGGTTGTAGGTGGGAGGGTGCCGGGCGAGGGGCAGCAGCACCAAGGGCGGACTGTGGCCGAGGCGGCGGGGACCCTGGGTCTCCAGCAACAGCAGCACAAGCAGCAGCAGTTCCAGCCACCGTATCCCTTCCATCCGCAGCAGCAACAGCAACAGCAGATGCAGCTGCAGCAGATGCAGCTCCTGCACCACCAACAGCAGCAGCAACAGCAGGGGCTCTGCAGGCCCCTCTTGCCCCCTCCGCCCCCACCCCAGGCCACCTCCTCGGATATCACTGCCCCTACGCCTTCCCCGCTCCTGTTGGATTCGGCCACTCTCCCCCCAGTCCCCCTCTTCAGACTTCGCCACTTCCCCTGCGGGAACATTGGCTACGGCTACCAGGAGCAAGGTTTGCCCCTGGAGGCGACCCACCACCACCCCAACCCTGTCAACCCCCCTCCTCCCCCGCCACCCGTGGCCATCCAGAGAGGAGTGGCGGGGACCCAGCTGTCGCTGAGCTGCTCGACGATGGGCAATTCCGAGGACAGCCGCCCGCTGCTGGTCACCATGGGGACAGTGCAGGACCCCACGCTGCCCCGGATGGAGGGCCACAATGCCACGGTGCTTTAGACCAACCCCGACCTCCATCTTGCTTTTTGGCTCCCACCTCGGAGACCATGTGTACAGGCAGCCAGACTAGATGGTACACCGCACAACATTGTGTCAGGACAGTACCCGCCGCCTTACGACCCCCCCTCCTGTCTCGACACCTTGGTTTCATCCACAGATTGGATCGACCCATTGGATTGACCCATTTTCACCTGGCCGATGAGTCCAAAAATCTCTAAAATGGTTGCGGAAATGCCAATGGGGTAACTGCCCAGCGTTTCCAGATTTCTATGAAGTATGACCTATAATTACTTACAATATGAGTGAAATAGTTTTCCTTCCAAAAATGGGTAATTGAGTATGTTAAAAACCAGCTGCATACCCCAACAACAGAATGGTGTGGGCTTATACCAGTCATAAACAATATTCACGTAAGTAGCCGCTGATTGGACAGCTCATCCTCCTCTAGACCACTGATTGGCCAGCTCATCCTCCTCAGGGAGATGGCATGTTCTATGAGGAAATAGCAACCATTTTTTAAACGGTCTGTTTGAGATACAAGTTTAAGGTGGGGTTTTTAAGTGTTTTTTTCTCCAATTTATGCTTTGGCCACAAATACGAGAATAGGACGAGTCAACAACATGAACAGAATATAAACTTTTAAAAGTTAGATTTTCACTGGGCAGTTACTTTAAAGCACATTGGAGAGCTGCAAAGACCATTGGGAAGAATGATGTACATTTTGCAACACTGGCTAAAATGTAGCCACTAAGGGAGTGATACACTATACGAAGAGAGTGGGCTGAATGAGTTGTTGGCTATTGTAACAGGACAGGGTGAAATGTTTCCATCTAGTTAGCTAATTTATCCGCTATGTGTTCACGAGCCGACCGCTCATCTTCGTGGCTCTGTAGATGTCAATGCAGACTTTCATCACAAGTCATTCTGGAAACACACAAACAGAATGTGTGTTTCACAAACAAAAACACAAACATGTAGAACATGGTAACTAAGAACAATACACATCTGCCAGATGTCTAACTGACTGTAACATTAATGAACTTTGGCTGTCAATCATTGCGGTTCATCCATTTCCTTTGGGATTTCTGGCCTTGGCAGTTGATTCACCAATCAGAAATGATTTTTTACAAGAATATCGTGAGAATCATACACTGGATTCCGGAGAGGAGGAAATTGTGTTTGTTGATGTTTGCTTGCCTTCTCGTTTATTTATTCATTTGGGAGCTCTGTATATTGTTAATGGATACACTTATTACACCCAACCATATCCAAATTCATTTCACGTTGGTTGGCTATTTGGCATTTTTTTTTTAGATGTAGGCATTTTTGTCCAATGTCGACCAATTAATGGTATTTCAGATAGTTGGAAACGAAATGTACTCATCTAGGTGAATGTTGCTATGCTATGAGGGTGGAAGTGAACGGGAATTATTGGTGGGTATAATGGTACCATAAGTAATGTATGTGGGTGGCTGTCTTTGCACTTTAAGGTGTGTGAGTAAGTGGTATTAATCTGTGTGTGCATATGTTTGCGTGTTTGAGAGAGAGAGAAAGAGAAGGGGGAGAAAGAAAGACAGCGAGAGAATGTTATTCGAGGCACAATACTATGGAGCTTACTTTATACCCATCTCAACCGTTTATTCAGGCAAGTTTACCTTCCATTTCTCGTTGGAGATTTTTGATATGTATATATTATTGCCCTCTATGGAAAGACAAAAATTACTGTTCCATCAACTTCCACAGACTCACACATAGTTGGAGATTAATTTAATTGAAAGTGTGCTTTTAAATGAGGAAATGTTGGCATTTTTGCTGGGGGCCTTTTTTCAACAACCTTTTCTTGATTCATAACTTTTTTTGTTTGTTTTTTCCTTACCCAGCAACTATATTTAACGTTGCTGAATAGGTATTACCCGCAAACTGCTATTTTAAAGTACTCAATGTTACTACATTTGCATAATTTATATTTTCTATTTGAATAAAGACTATTGTAGAATATAAAGTATAATGAGTTAAAAGTTTGAATACAAATTGCTTGTGGTCCACTTGTGAATAAATCTATGGTAAATATTTTGTGAGGATCTAACTTCTTACTCCATCAGTCATCAACCAAATCTACATTTACATTCAATGTGGATAGCCTCAACACTGTCAATGCAGTCTGCTTTTATACATTCAAAAAGATCAATGTTTGATTATTTTATGTGATTATTAATTCATTATAATGTGCTCGAATCAACTTTCATGTACATAAGTCTCAAATGGACATGAGTGCTAGTCTATGCTAAGATGAGATTAAGTTGATTTGAGTGTATCCAGGAAGTGCCAATGTGTCAGTTGTTTGCCTGTCTATGTTGTTAACCCTTTGCTTGAACACTCTTTCATAAAGCCTTACAATCTGTTATAGACATGTCACAGGTAGTGAAGACATTTTATCATTTAACTGGCTTATGTCTTAAAGTAGGCTTATGATAGAGGATTCAAGTAACATGTTGCACTATTGTTCATCTCCAGTGGCTGTGTTAACATAATTTGCTGTTTCTTTGCAGCAGCTCATCTCAACTCCGTTGCTCCTCGTAAAAAACAATTGAATTGCACCTGTAAAATGTTGTAATTATGAAGTATTGTACTATGACTCTGGTAACCCCTGTAAGTTGCCCTTCAGATGACATCTGCCAAAATGAATAAATTACTATATAATGACTATTTGTTGCTGCTCTACAGACTTGACTGAACTCACTCAGACTTAGGGTTAGATTAAATCCGTATCGCGGAAGTTCAGCGTTATAGCGCAATTGAAATGTAAAGGTAATTCCCGATTGAGCCGACCTATGTAGCGTTTACTGTGAATGCAGTCTCCGCTAACTCGGGAACATTGCCTTTACATTTTTATCGCGATGTAGCACGGATCTTCAGTGCTACGGATTGAATCAAGCCCTTATACAGCTCAATTCAAACATCCATTGCAGTATTTTACACAGTAGCAGATAAGTATTGGTTTTGTCCATGTGGCAAATGCAAAGAACAGTGGCTAGACTCTTTCCCAGTTGAATTGGGACATACTATACAATATCATTACAGAGGCCTTTAATTGTTCAAAGTACATTTGCATAATTATATATTTCTTGGGGAAGTCACGCATCTCGTAAACTCGCATATTTTTCGTGGGCCCCAATAGAGTTAGAGGTAGCCATGTAGTTCAGCATAAAACAGTGTGCCAGGGCAGTATTTGAATCAACAAAGAAAGGGAATAAACAATGTTATTACAGGACTGATGGAATCTGGCATCCAAATGAGAACTGTTGAGACCCATTTTGTAATCAAACAAAAAGTGTAGCAATTTCAATGTACTTTTTCTGTCCCCCCCCCCTCCCCCAAGACATCTTTCTTCTCATCAGATAAACAGCGGAGGGATGGAGAGTTTGCTAAGAGACAGTCCGCCCACACGGGAGGTTCGGCACGCAGCCATCAAAGAGATGGAGGAGAAACAAACAGTGAAATTAGAATATAATCTTTATTAATTTTACAAATACAATTTTTACACTACGTGCCACTATTTCACAGTGAAACCCTTTCACTACAAACACAAATTATTCCAAATGTACACATGGGACATGACCAGAAATAAATCCAAAACCGTTTGCTGCCCACACACAGACTGCAACCAATGACTTTCAAGTGCATTTTAACTCGGGATTTCCGATAATGTATCATCCATGAAGACATTATAGAACCCAACAGTACTAAGTAACACTGTTACAGAAGTGACTGATAAGGCGATGACTGTTACATTAATGACTGTTAAGGGAATGACTCTTACAGAAATGTCACAACAATGACCGTAACAGACCTGACTGTTACGACAATGACTGTTACAGAAATAACAGAACTGACTGCGGATAAGAGCAGTTGAATTAGCATTCATACCACCTAGCTTCTTTCATCTCCAAACCTCAGGCGAATATCTCAGGCAATCATGATTTGTCCTACCAACGCGTTTCAATTGCATGGGGCCCAACCAGATCGATTAATGGTACATCGCATTCAGCATATGGGCTACTGTTGCGCTCTACCTTTTTAATTGGGTGGAACATGGACGTTTTGTTAAAGTCTCTCTTTTTTTTCTCCACAGATACAATCAATAGCTTGTTGCCTGCTGACTTGCCAAGACTGTAAACGTTATCTGTATAGAATTTTGGAATGCGCTTCACGTAAACCAGCTTTCAAAGCATTTTGTCATAAGGACGACATAATAGATGTCGTTAGCATGTGTGCTGATGTAAATGATCTTTAGACAAATCTTATGTCACACAGCCAGTTGGGTGTCCAATCTGACCAAAAGTAGCTAGCATACATCAATAGGCCTAGAAGTGTCACTTCAGTGTAGGATCATGTTAGCATAAATTGGCATCACTTGACGGCACTATACCAGTGCTCAAGTGGTGCCATAGCATTAATGGCTGAATATGGCTGAATTCCAAATCAACCCCTAGCCTATATCCCTTATGCACTCCTGTAGATCTGAAAGAGATTGATAGGTATAAGCAATATTTCTACCCAGCCAATCAGAAGGCAAGGTGAAGCTATTACCATATTGCTTCCACCTATCCAATCCTCTCAGATCCACAGCAGTGCCTAGGGTGCAGGAGCTGAGGGTCAATTAGCAATTCAGCACAAGTTGGCAGTGACTGCAGTTTCAAGTGAATACGAACCATCACAGATTCAGTGTTGGCCAAACACAGTGCACATTCTCTCTCAGTTAGGACAGTCATCAGTGAACCCAGATAACCCTGCATTATAATTACAAATAGGCTTATCCATTCCCTCCAAAGTGCTCAAATCCAGGGATATTTTAGTACCTCTGTACCAGGACATTGTCTTGCATTAAGGTGCTTAGCTGCGTTGTTGGCCAGGTTAGCTTTGATAACAGTTAAAATCTCTACATACAGTACAGAGTGAGGGAGCTTAGGGAAGAATGGAAGTATTAATTTACTGTATCTGATTTATACATATCTTCCATCGAATATAAAGTATAAATATTTCTGAAAATTATTTTCTTTCACCCTACCAAACCAAGCTATGACAATCAAAGCTTGTTGCCTCATACCTACAGTATGTTCAATAGCATGACAACTCTAGTAGTCTCAATTCCAAATGTAATTTATAGTTTTCTAGTGTCCATTGATGGTCAACGGGTAGAGTAGACAGGTAAAACAAAAAGGTAAATCAGCCAGGAAATAGGACAAACTAGTTGATGTGTAGTTAAAATGTCGGCTGGCCACACCACCTTAACATAAATCTTAAAATAAAACATTTCTTAAATGTATATAACAATATGCTAATAACTGATTAGGTAGTGTCGTTTTTGGGGGACATTTCAAGGAGCAAAATAAACAAACCCGACCCCCTGGGTCCTAGTGTCCTCAGCTGTTCTCGTCCACGAGCCGGGCGCCGTTAATGCCGCGGTAAGTGACACGGCTGGGCCTCACCAGCACACCGTATCCCGGGCGGCACATGAAGTAGCGGCGGCCGCCCACCTGGCCGTCATTCTTGCCCTTGGCGGTGCGCAGCTCCAGGCCCAGCCACAGGCCTGGGGCGAAGTCAGCCTGGCCCACGTAGCGGATCAGGGCCATCTCCTTCGCGCTGCTCAGCAGCACTTGCATGCCCAGGTGGAGACGCACGGACGCCTCCGAGCCAGAGGAGGTGGTGGTGGTAGCGGTGGTTCCTCCGGTGCTTCCTGGGCCGCCAGTTCCCGGACCCCAGCCGCCACTCAGGGTGCTCCAGCGCCGACGGTGGGAGTTGGAACGTGACCTGAGGGGAGAGGGAGAGATAAAGATGGATGAATGGGATTAGAGGTGGAGAGAGAGGGAGGGAGGAAAAGAGGGGTGGGTATAGAGGGAGAGAGGCAGAGTAAGGTAGCAGAGAGGGAGAGAGATTGAGAAGAAATCAGGGGATGGAGAAAGGAGAGTAAAAATAGTGAAAAAAGGGCGTCGTGAAAAAGTGAGACAATGGACGGGGAAGAACGTAGAGAGCAACAAGGGGAGGAAGGAAAGGAATGAGAGGGGTCAGAGAAAGATGTGAAACGAGAGAGGGAGAGGAACGCGAAGGAGAGGGATTGATCTTGGATTGCTTTCATACTCATTATAACCCTGCTATCAAGCATTGGCAATTCCCCAAAATGATAACTTTTGCTGACCACTATTGATTTTACCTCCGGTGGTGGGGGGAGTAGGGAGAAAGCGGAAAACGGTCAGGGAGGAGAAATGCAGAGACGTGGAATGTGGAGAAGAGTGCTTATGAGAAAATGGCCACCTGTTGACAGGACTCTTCCGGCTCGGCTCCTTCTGGGCAGCAATGGCCGTTGACGTGCTAAAGCTGCGTCTGATTCCTGAATGAATGACAGACATGTGTGAATACACATAGACACATTCACAAATATGTAGTACACACACAATCATACACAAATACAAAAATACAGATGCATGCACGTGCACACACACTGTGAAGGGTCCCAAAATAATTGTGACATGACGACAACTGCGTTTTCTGTCATTAAAATGCTATCTACTGCATTTTTCATCATTCAAATTCTATCATCGTTAAGTTTATTCAGCGTTTGTATTAAGTAAATAAATGAATAAATAAGGAACAAACAAGGCCAAAAACTCACTGGTAAAAGGACGGTTGAGACGTGAGGAGGACAGCTCTGAAAGACAATCCATAGAGCCATGGATCCTGTGGAAAAAATTCAATTAAATAAAAACACATTGACACTAAAGCCTTAGTCTAAGACACACAATCTTTAAATCCCTTACTGAGTTCCGGAAACAGCAGCCTGCTTAAATAACACTCTACAAAACCGGCAGCGCTTTCTCTTACAGTACAAGGTTGGGGTCAGTTCCATTTAAACTCTAGTATAGTCACTAGACAAGGAATGAATTGAAATTCACAAAAATAATAGGGCAGGAAACAAGTCGTCATTTCAAATAATGGGCTATTTCTCCAATTAAACCATTGATTATCCATTAATTTCCGGAATGGAATGAGTCGAGATGGAATTGACCCCGAACTGCTATCCCTCCATCCCTCAACTCTCAAATAGACACAAAATAAATAAAACATTCGGTATCCCAGCACAAGGTGCCTGTCCAACTTGGTGGATGTGTTTGCCTAAGCCGCTGTGTGTCGGTGATAATAACTGGAGCTTTGAAAACCATTAACACAGAGGCAGGCGAAGTGGAGAAATTAGCAAAAAAAACTGCCTTATCTTGTTTGGAAAGCAGAAAAGGAGAGGAGAGAGTGGGGAGTGAGTGAGAGAAAGCAGAACAAATTATCAGAAAAAAGTAACGCCTTGCTGTTTGTTATCTAATGGGTCCTGATAGCTGCTGACAGGAAGAGAAAGACAGAGAAGGAGAGAGCGAAAGAGCGGCTGTTCTGGCTCTCGGTGATGGAGAGAATGCGAGAGGGAGATCTCTATTAGCCCAAGCCACAATTTAGCGTAGTGTCCCGCTTGCCCCACAGTTTAATTAGAAAAAAAAAAGAGGAGGGGAAGAATGAGAAAACAAGTGCAGTCCTTTCAGAAAACATTCCCCTTATCACACAGTAAAAGTAGGGTAAGAAGAAAAGTGAAAAGAAGATGATTGCAGGTGTGGAGCTAAGAGAGGAATGAGTGAGAGAGAAAACATGTAAGGGGGTAAAAAATGTACTTTAGCCAAATAAATCAACTTAAAATGGAACTTAAGTTAAACCTGCTACCTCATTAAAGCTAATATTTAACTTAAACCTGTTTTTTGTATTAATTTCCAGTTTTTTTCCCCCGGAAGGTCTGATAATAGCACAAGTCTTGCCACCAAACATTATTACTGTGCATTATAACTATTTGAAATCACATAAAACATTACTGTCAATGGTTGGTTTTCAAAATGGTACAACTCTTTAACAGTTTACGCAGACACTAGACCACTGTAAAAGGTCTTACAATTACAAAACTAGTTTATGAACTATATAATTATTTAAATTTGCACACATTTGCATAAAATGAATAAATTTACCACAGTACCCAACTTCCACCATTATGTTTTTTCTGAATACAGTCGCAGGTAAATGTGAATGCCTCGCGTGCCTTGCTTTTATAAAACAGTTACCAACATATCAAAATAACAATAAATTACATTTTCTAAACTTTATTTTGATAAGTAAATTCATATATATAATGCGGTGAAAAATCTGGTTGTTAGTTATTTTGGTCATGTTGCTACAGACTCGACCCAGTCGTTAATTCTTCTTGCATAGTTGCTATAAACGGGTTGGTTGTTTAGCAACTAAAACTGACATGTGTGCAACTATGGGGAAAAATAGACGGGGTTGGCATAGACTGTTGACAATATGTAAACTATATTTATTCTCCACATATTGGAAACAAATACATTTGCACAATGAGCACTTGTTGTCTCTCAAATACATTGTTACAGTTGTTGGTTAGCTAGCTAGAGATTTTTTTTGCCATATTAGTATAGACATGACATCAGTCAAAACACTTCAAAGCAAGACATGGTATGAATAACAAGATGTATGTGGACACCCCTTCAAATTAGTGGATTCGGCCATTTCAGCCACACCCGTTGCTGACAGGTGTATAAAATCGAGCACACAGCCATGCAATCTCCATAGACAAACATTGGCAGTAGAATGGCCTTACTGAAGAGCTCAGTCACTTTAAACGTGGCACCGTCATAGAATGCCACCTTTCCAACAAGTCAGTTCGTCAAATTTCTGCCCTGCTAGAGCTGACCCGGTCAACTGTAAGTGCTGTTATTGTGAAGTGGAAACCTCTAGGAGCAACAAAGGCTCAGCCGCAAAGTGGTAGGCCACACAAGCTCACAAAACGGGACCGCCAAGTGTTGAAGCGCGTAAAACTTGTCAGTCCTCGGTTGCAACACTCACTACCAAGTTCCAAACTGCCTCTGGAAGCAACGTCAGCACAATAACTGTTCGTCTGGAGTTTCATGAAATGGGTTTCCATGGTCGAGCAGCCGCACAATAGCCTAAGATCACCATGCGCAATGCCAAGCGTCGGCTGGAGTGGTGTAAAGCTCGTCGCCATTGGACTCTGGAGCAGTGGAAATGCGTTCTCTGGAGTGATGAATCACGTTTCACCATCTGGCAGTCCAACGGACAAATCTGGGTTTGACAGATGCAAGGAGAACGCTACCCAATGCATAGTGACACCTGTAAAGTTTGGTGGAGGAGGAATAATGGACTGGGGTTGTTTTTCATAGTTCGGGCTAGGCCCCTTAGTTCCAGTGAAGGGAAATCTTAACGCTACAGCATACTAATATCTGGCTATATATTGCTTTGACCTAGCTAGCTAGTTCACGTTATCAACCAGAGAGACAGAGGTCTTACTTAGCTACGATTCCTAGCTAGTTGTCTAACGCTAGCTGTAAACAGTCAAGTTGATTTCCTATTAAAAGGCCTTGATGAGTAGAATAACTAGCTAGCTAATTAACGTCAGTATTTGAAAAAATCCAGTCCTATGATTAAATGTCTATCATTTAAAAATCATTATTTGTTTCTGGTAGTCATACCTGATGTGTCGTAAAGAAAAATTTAAATACACATTTTCTAGATACATTTACATTTACATTTACGTCATTTAGCAGACGCTCTTATCCAGAGCGACTTACAAATTGGTGCATTCACCCTATAACCAGTGGGATAACCACTTTACAAGATCAAGGATATCCAACTGTAACCCGCCAACACGTTTGAAAATATAGTACAACCACAATCAAAGTACAGAATAACACCTTTTTTTTGTACATTTACCCTTTTCTCAATATTGTAATATTGTAATAACATGATGTTCTACTGGAAACGTGCCTTTATCTACAGTGCATTTGGAAAGTATTCAGACCCCTTGACTTTATACACATTTTGTTACGTTACAGCCTGATTCTAAAATGGATGAAATACAATTTTTTCCTCATCAATCTACACACAATACCCCATAATTTATTACAAATAAAAAACAGAAATACCTTAATTTACATAAGTATTGTATGAAAATGTATGCACTCACTAACTGTAAGTCGCTCTGGATAAGAGCGTCTGCTAAATGACTAAAATGTAAATCAGACCCTTTGCTATGAGACTCGAAATTGTAAATTCAATTGATTGGATATGATTTGGAAAGGCACACACCTGTCTATATAAGGTCCCACAGTTGACAGTGCATGTCAGAGCAAAAACCATGCCATGAGGTCGAAGGAATTGTCCGTAGAGGTCCGAGACAGGATTGTGTCGAGGCACAGATCTGGGGAAGGGTACCAAAAAGAGTTCCTCTGTGGAGATGGGAGAAACTTCCAGAAGGACAACCATCTCTGAAGCACACAGCCAAGACAATGCAGGAGTGGCATTGGGACAAGTCTCTGAATGTCCTCGAGTGGCCCAGCCAGAGCCCGGACTTGAACCCAATCGAACATCTCTGGAGAGACCTGAAAATAGCTGTGCAGCGACGCTCCCCATCCAACCTGACAGAGCTTGAGAGGATCTGCAGAGAAGAATGGGAGAAACTCCCCAAATACAGGTGTGCCAAGCTTGTAGTGTCATACCCAAGAAGACTCAAGGCTGCAATCGCTGCCAAAGGTGCTTCAACAAAGTACTGAGTAAAGGGTCTGAATACTTATGTAAATGTGATATTACCTGTTTTTGCTTTGTCATTATGGGGTATTGTGTGTAAATTGAACAGGGGAAAAAAAACAATTTAATCAATTTTAGAATAAGGCCGTAACGTAACAAAATGTGGAAAATGTCAAGGGGTCTGAACACTTTCCGAATGCACTGTATGTACGTGGGTGTGTGTAATAACGTGTACATCTCCCGCCAATGCGACACCCCCAGGTGTGATCCCCGCTTTGAGAAGGTTTCTGGAAGAGGTTACCCACTACACCCCTCGCTACATGGAGACCAACCACAGAAGGAGGAGAGGAAGAGGATCAGCAATGGGCATCAGCAACAATGAGAGGTAGGCTACACCTGCAGTCAGACTGTTACTAGGAGGTGGTCTTTCTTTATCTCATGCCCTGATCTCTCATTCCCTCTCTCTCACCCTCCCCTTTCTATCTCTCCCCCGTTTCTCCCTCGCTCCTTCTCTCTCCCAGTGTGAAGGCTGTGTATAGTGAGCCCCACAACACTCTAATGGCCATTAATGAACACCCAGACCGGGCATGCCCACTGACTAGCCTCATTTACAGCTGCAACACACACACACACAGACACACAGGCTAAAGGAAGTTAAATGGGGCCTAATGGAGTGTACTGTAATATGGGATGATGTAGTCGTCAGCCCCTTTATTATTGCCAAAGTTAGTCTAATGTAGTGAACAGTGTTACAAGCTAATGTACAGTTGCTTGCGAAAGTATTCACCCCCCTTGGCATTTTTCCTATTTTGTTGCCTTACAACCTGAAATTAAAATCGTTTTTTGGGGGGTTTGTATCATTTCATTTACACAACATGCCTACCACTTTGAAGATACAAAATATTTTCTTCAAGGCAAAACTGCTCAGGCTCCTTCAAGTTGGATGGGTTCCGCTGGTGTACAGCAATCTTTAAGTAATACCACAGATTCTCAATTGGATTGAGGTCTGGGCTTTGACAAGGCCATTCCAAGACATTTAAATGTTTCCCCTTAAACCACTTGAGTGTTGCTTTAGCAGTATGCTTAGGGTCATTGTCCTGCTGGAAGGTGAACCTCCGTCACAGTCTCAAATCTCTGGAAGACTGAAACAGGTTTCCCTCAAGAATTTCTCTGTATTTAGCGCCATCCATCATTCCTTCAATTCTGACCAGTTTCCTTAATGGCCAAAAAGCTAAATTTTAGTCTCATCTGACCAGAGTATCTTCTTCCATATGTTTGGGGAGTCTCCCACATGCCTTTTCACGAACACCAAATGTGTTTGCTTATTTTTTTTTCTTTAAGCAATGGCTTTTTTCTGGCCACTCTTCCGTAAAGCCCAGCTCTGTGGAGTATACGGCTTAAATGTCTTGGAGTGGTCCTCTGTAGCTCAATTGGTAGAGCATGGCGCTTGTAACGCCAGGGTAGTGGGTTCGATCCCCGGGACCACCCATACGTAAAAATGTATGCACACATGACTGTAAGTCGCTTTGGATAAAAGCATCTGCTAAATGGCATACTATTATATTATTATTATTATTATTATTATTATTATTATTATTATTATTATTATTATTAAAGTGGTCCTATGGACAGATACTCCAATCTCTGATGTGGAGCTTTGCAGCTCCTTCAGGGTTATCTTTGTTGCATCTCTGATTAATGCCCTCCTTACCTGGTCCGTGAATTTTGGTGGGTGGCCCTCTCTTCGCAGGTTTGTTGTGGTGCCATATTCTTTCAATTTTTTAATAATGGATTTAATGTTAATATTTTTTTAAACCCAACCCTGATCTGTACTGTTTGGAGATCTCCTTGGTCTACATGGTGCCGCTTGCTTGGTGGTGGCCCTTGCTTAGTGGTGTTGCAGATTCTGGGGCCTTTCAGAACAGGTGTATATATACTGAGATCATGTGACACTTAAATAAAGGCCACCTGTGTGTAATCTAACTAATTATGTGACTTCTGAAGGTAATTGGTTGCACCATATCTTATTTAGGGGCTTCATAGCAAAGGGGGTGAATACATATGCACGCACCACTTTTCTGTAAAAAAAAATTTAAGTTATTTTTTTCATTTCATTTCACCAATTTCGAGTATTTTGTGTATGTCCATTACATGAAATCCAAATAAAAATCAATTTAAATTACAGGTTGTAATGCAACAAAATAGGGAAAACACCAAGGGGGCTTAATACTTTTGCAAGGCACTGTAGCAGACTGTATAACAGTAGTGTATGGTTCAACAATGTGACCATTATTAGAGACTGCTGGAGGGTAATATACTGGACCGGTATCTTGTTCAATGGAGTCGAATGAAACCTCTCTTTCAGGAATTGGCATCAGAAAAGAAAAGCAAATCAAGAAAGAGGTGTACAGCAAGGCACAATAGAGGTGAGCATGTCGCCATCTGTCTTTATGACCTCATGCTACAGTACAACTATCTCAGTGATGCTAAAGGCCTTTGCAGACTGTACATCGGATTCAGTCTTTTACAATTACACGTCACGCTGTGCGATGTCACCACATTAAAATCTTGTTAACAATCTGGACAGATCGTACGATTTGCTCCAGTTCTGTCATCACATTCTGCGATTGGTTTGCGATGCTACGTCAGCCATTGTAGGCTACGTCAACTATAGCAATGTATTTAATCTGCGCTTGTGCCAGCACCAGCAGCGCAAACCTCTCTCTCTATGCTTATGTACGAGTGAAGTGAGTTCGGAAAAACTGAAAGTAGGCCTATACATCTTAGAAATTGTTTTCACATACCGAAGTTATATGTTCGAACTCAGAATAAAATATGCTTCCCCAAAATAACATGGTCGTTGTGGTAGAACGTTTGTTTTCATTGGCGATTTTGTGCATTTATCAAAATCCCATCAAGTAGCCTGATTTCAGATGTGTCATGTAAACAAGATTATTAGGGAAATATTTATTATTGCACAGAATGTAAATGTTAAAATCAAACTTATATTCATCTGACTATTCACAATAATCGTATTATTGTATGCATATTCAGTGCAGCCCGTGTTCCTATTGGTCAGTCACCGGGATTGGCTCGTAACACCAGCCAAACTACACAATAAAGGCAAAACAATTCTGACGCTGCCAGAACTTTGTCGGAGCCTACCACGTAGTGGTACTTAATTGGCAGACCTAGAACCTGTCACATTGAAGAGCCATTAAATAGTCTATAATGCGCACCACTGTGGCACTCAACTCAAACAGCAGTGTGTAGCCTACTGTAGCTGCTGGCAAAGTAATTCAAAGCCTCTACTTTATCACTCAGGTCAAGATGCAACATTCCAGTGCTACTATTTTTGCCATGCAATGTTGTTATTAAAACAAAATAATCAGACAACCCGTAGTAGAATAGTTTACCCATTTACCTAGTCGGCTTGTTGTTGCGTGTTCTATGTGAGAGAAATAATCCTCTCGAGGCGCATTCAAATTGCGAGAGCCATAGGGAGGGAAACGTATTCTGACAAGCAGTCGATGCACAACATTTCTTAATGCAATCACGGGAAAAAACTTTGAAAGCAGTTTTAGCCTTTGTTAAAAGTCCCAGTTTTCCATTGCTACAATTTTTTTTATTTACTCCTTCAATTGTGCGATTGGCATCGCTTTACAAATTCAGTTACAACCGGAGTTTCAAGCATGTTTAGGAGAAGCTACGCAACAATAATGATGGGCCGTTCTTTTTTGATGAACGTCGGGAACCGAATCGCATATGTGAAAGGAACGTTCATTTGGCTCCCTGATTTGCATACTGTTACTAATGCTTTTTAAGCTCCAGACATCGACTATCTGCAAATAAATTATAAAAACATTCTCTAAAGATGGTAATTCCTCAGTGCAGGAACAATATAGTGAGGAGAGAGCCTCATTCTGGTTGGTCCATGCTCATTTTTTCAGTGCGGAAATTGTTTGTTATTGCAGGCCATCTAATAATTTGGTCGGGTAAACATTTCTTTGAACTCGCAGTTCACGATCAGACATAAAGGTAGGCAACGTTTTAGGCTTTAAATTAGAGATGAACAATTGATTTATGTTTTTTCAACGTCTAAGCATTACTCAGTGAGGAGCCGTTTGGGAGCCAAATGAAAAGGCCTGTTTAGGTGAATGGAGCCAAATGATCCGACTCACATGAAAGACTCGGAATGCCCATCACTATGCGACAGAGCTCAAAAGGGGACAATGGCGTCCTAAAAGGGCAATGACACACTTCTAATACAATTATTTATACTGTAAATTTATCATTAATAACAAATCAGGATGTTGTGTCCAATAGGGTAAATGCAGATGGACAAACCCCATGCTTCAGCATACAGTTGAAGTCGGAAGATTACATACACCTTAGCCAAATACATTTAAGTTCAGTTTTTCACAATTCCTGACATTTAATCCTTGTAAAAATTCCCTGTTTTAGGTCAGTTAGGATCACCACTTTATGTTAAGAATGTGAAATGTCAGAATAATTGTAAAGAGACTGATTTATTTCAGCTTTTATTTCTTTCATCACATTCTCAGTGGGTCAGAAGTTTACAAACACTCAATTAGTATTTGGTAGCATTGCCTTTAAATGATTTAACTTGGGTCAAACGTTTCGGGTAGCCTTCCACAAGCTTCCTACAATAAGTTGGGTGAATTTTGGCCCATTCCTCTTGACAGAGCTGGTGTAACTGAGTCAGGTTTGTAGGCCTCCTTGCTCGCACATGCTTTTTCAGTTTGGCCCACAAATGTTCTATAGGATTGAGGTCAGGGCTTTGTGATGGCCACTCCAATACCTTGACTTTGTTGTCCTTAAGCCATTTTGCCACAACTTTGGAAGTATGCTTGGGGTCATTGTCCATTTGGAAGACCCATTTGTGACCAAGCTTTAACTTCCTGACTGATGTCTTGAGATGTTGCTTCAATATATCCACATAATTTTCCTTCCTCATGATGCCATCTATTTTGTGAAGTGCAACAGTCCCTCCTGCAGCAAAGCACCCCCACAGCATGATGCTGCCACCCCCGGGCTTCACGGTTGGGATGGTGATCTTCGGCTTGCAAGGCACCCATCTTTTCCTCCAAACATAACGATGGTCATTATGGCCAAACAGTTCTATTTTTTGTTGCATCAGACCAGAGGACATTTCTCCAAAAAGTACGATCTTTGTCCCCATGTGCAGTTGCAAACCGTAGTCTGTAGTAACCGTAGTCTGTAGTAACCGTAGTCTGTAGTAACCGTAGTCTGTAGTAACCGTAGTCTGTAGTAACCATAGTCTTTTTAGGTTATGTCCCCTGTAGCTCAGTTGATAGAGCATGGTGCTTGCAACGCCAGGGTTGTGGGTTCGTTTCCCACGGGGGGCCAGTATGAAAATGTATGCACTCACTAACTGTAAATTGCTCTGGATAAGAGCATCTGCTAAATGACTAAAATGTAAATGGGACTCGTTTTACTGTGGATATACAGTGGGGAAAAAAAGTATTTAGTCAGCCACCAATTGTGCAACTTCTCCGACTTAAAAAGATGAGAGAGGCCTGTAATTTTCATCATAGGTACACGTCAACTATGACAGACAAAAAGAGATTTTTTTTCTCCAGAAAATCACATTGTAGGATTTTTAATGAATTTATTTGCAAATTATGGTGGAAAATAAGTATTTGGTCAATAACAAAAGTTTCTCAATACTTTGTTCTTTTTTTTTCATTTTATACATTTTACATTGTTATATACCCTTTGTTGGCAATGACACAGGTCAAACGTTTTCTGTAAGTCTTCACAAGGTTTTCAGAAACTGTTGCTGGTATTTTGGCCCATTCCTCCATGCAGATCTCCTCTAGAGCAGTGATGTTTTGGGGCTGTCGCTGGGCAACATGGACTTTCAACTCCCTCCAAAGATTTTCTATGGGGTTGAGATCTGGAGACTGGCTAGGCCACTCCAGGACCTTGAAATGCTTCTTACGAAGCCACTCCTTCATTCCCCGGGCGGTGTGTTTGGGATCATTGTCATGCTGAAAGACCCAGCCACGTTTCATCTTCAATGCCCTTGCTGATGGAAGGAGGTTTTCACTCAAAATCTCACGATACATGGCCCCATTCATTCTTTCCTTTACACGGATCAGTCGTCCTGGTCCCTTTGCAGAAAAACAGCCCCAAAGCATGATGTTTCCACCCCCATGCTTCACAGTAGGTATGGTGTTCTTTGGATGCAACTCAGCATTCTTTGTCCTCCAAACACGACGAGTTGAGTTTTTACCAAAAAGTTCTATTTTGGTTTCATCTGACATTCTCCCAATTCTCTTCTGGATCATCCAAATGCACTCTAACAAACTTCAGACGGGCCTGGACATGTACTGGCTTAAGCAGGGGGACACGTCTGGCACTGCAGGATTTGAGTCCCTGGCGGCGTAGTGTGTTACTTATGGTAGGCTTTGTTACTTTGGTCCCTGCTCTCTGCAGGTCATTCACTAGGTCCCCCCGTGTGGTTCTAGGATTTTTGCTCACCGTTCTTGTGATCATTTTGACCCCACGGGGTTAGATCTTGCGTGGAGCCCCAGATCGAGGGAGATTATCAGTGGTCTTGTATGTCTTCAATTTCCTAATAATTGCTCCCACAGTTGATTTCTTCAAACCAAGCTGCTTACCTATTGCAGATTCAGTCTTCCCAGCCTAGTGCAGGTCTACAATTTTGTTTCTGGTGTCCTTTGACAGCTCTTTGGTCTTGGCCATAGTGGAGTTTGGAGTGTGACTGTTTGAGGTTGTGGACAGGTGTCTTTTATACTGATAACAAGTTCAAACAGGTGCCATTAATACAGGTAAAGAGTGGAGGACAGAGGAGCCTCTTAAAGAAGAAATTACAGGTCTGTGAGAGCCAGAAATCTTGCTTGTCTGTAGGTGACCAAATACTTATTTTCCACCATAATTTGCAAATAAATTCATTAAAAATCCTACAATGTGATTTTCTGGATTTATTTCTTCTCAATTTGTCTGTCATAGTTGACGTGTACCTATGATGAAAATTACAGGCCTCTCTCATCTTTTTAAGTGGGAGAACTTGCACAATTGGTGGCTGACTCAATACTTTTTTCCCCCCACTGTAGATACTTTTGTACCTGTTTCCTCCAGCATCTTCACAAGGTCCTTTGCTGTTGTTCTGGGATTGATTTGCACTTTTTGCACCAAAGTACATTTGTCTCCTTCCTGAGCGGTATGACGGCTGCGTGGTCCAATGGTGTTTATACTTGCGTACTATTGTTTGTACAAATGAACGTGGTACCTTCAGGCGTTTGGAAATTGCTCCCAAGGATGAACCAGACTTGTGGAGGTCTACCAATTTTTTTCTGAGGTCTTGGCTGCTTTCTTTTGATCTTCCCATGATGTCAAGCAAAGAGGCACTGAGTTTGAAGGTAAGCCTTAAAATACATCCATAGGTACACCTCCAATTGACTCAAATTATGTCAATTAACGTATCAGAAGCTTCTAAAGCCATGACATCATTTTCTGGAATTTTCCAAGCTGTTTAAAGGCACAGTCAACTTAGTGTATGTAAACTTCTGACCCACTGGAATTGTGATACAGTGAATATAAGTGAAATAATCTGTCTGTAAACAATTGTTGGAAAAATTACTTGTGTCATGCAAAGTATATGTCCTAACCGACTTGCCAAAACGATAGTTTGTTAAAAAGAAATTTGTGGAGTGGTTGAAAAACAAGTTTTAATGACTCCAACCTAAGTTTATGTAAACTTTCGACTTCAACTGTATGTACATTTTATAGCTACTATGCTGCATTACATTTATATCATTTAGCAGACGCTCTTATCCAGAGCGACTTACATCATCAGTTTGGTCTACAGGTAATAATGCTTAATGCTAATACCACTTCTGATAATAGACCATGAATTCGGCTATATAAATAGTACCAATATGTTTTTGGGCTCATTTCTGGAGTAGGAAATTCTATTTTAGATGGTGCCAGCATAATTTTATTTTCATTCATTTTGGAGTAGGCTGTCCTTTTAAAAAGTCACCAGAACTGAGCTTCTTGGGCCCACTAAGCAAAGGGACTGAAATTGGCCAAACACTCAGTTTAATACATGTACAAAACTATCCTCTTTCCCTAAAAGCATGATGATCATGACTTTCTTACATGAAAGGGAAGGTTAACTTGGCCCCAGACAAGTTTCAGTCATGAGAATTTTTGTTGTTGTTGCTTTAACCCCTGGAGTCATTCAGTACTCACTTACCATCTCATTACATTTACATTTTAGTCATTTAGCAGACGCTCTTATCCAGAGCGACTTACAGTTAGTGAGTGCATACATTTTCATACTGGCTCCCCGTGGGAAACGAACCCACAACCCTGGCGTTGCAAGTGCCATGCTCTACCAACTGAGCTACAGGGGACTTGAGATTACGATGAATCTTCAATTCCTAATTACTGATTGGTTTGTTAATTGTTTGTAGATAGTGTTAGTGTTATGTCTCCTCTCTCTGTGTGTGTGTGTGTGTGTGTGTGTTTGTGTTTGTGTTTGTGTGGGGATGCATTCACAGACACAGTGATCAGCTTGTTGGGGGTGAACTGGGAGCACAGTGCTGTAGGCAGTGGGACAGAGGAGATGGCAACAGAGAGGGCTTCGTCCTGAGCCCTATACTAAGAATCAGGTTTGAGGAGTTAGCAAGGTAACTTTGGTCAACTATGAGTTCAACCCGGGATAACCGGTACCATGAAAGTGGCCAGGTACATTTCTATGGCAACGAATCCTTCAGAACTAACATGCAGGCTAAATCAGTGCTAACTCCATTTATCCAGAATTATTCGTCTGAGCCACGAGTTGAGGACCAGTGAAATCAGATACCCCCCCTCTCGCAAAGATTGTCACAATCCCCTTCATTTGAGGAAGACTGATAAAATATTTTAATAAACAAAGGTTTTGTATGTAAAAACATTTTTTAAATACCTATCACATTACACATTTAGTAAGGACAGCATTTGCTTCCCAAACGGTACATTTCTCGCACTATTGTATTTTGAAATTTGCGAAAGGCAAACTGAAACCAACCAAGCATAGACATATAATCCATAGATGGTAGTTCCCATTCAAGTCAAGACTGGCAGCCATTACCAAGGTACCCATGAGTTTAACAGTCAAATTGACAGGGTTAGAGGTTCCAAAACCCTTCTATGGATTACAGTGTCTTCAGAAAGTATTCATATCCCTCGACTTATTCCACATTTTGTTGTGTTACAGCATGAATTTAAAATTGATTAAATATATATTTTTTCCTCACCCATCTACACACAAAACACCATAATGACAAAGTGAAATTATGTTTTTAGAAATGTTAGCAAATCTATGAATATTAAATACAGAAATATCTCATTCACATAAGGATTCACACCCCTGAGTCAATACTTTGCAAAAGCACCTTGGCAGTGATTACAGCTGTGTGTCTTTCTGGGTATGTCTGTAAGAGCTTTCTACACCTGGATTGTGCAACATTGGCCCATTATTCTTAAAAAATTATTCAAGCTCTGTCAAATTGGTTGTTGATCATTGCTAGACAATTGTAATGTCTTGCCATAGGTTTTCAAGTAGATTTAAGTCAAAACTGTAACTCAGCCACTTAGGAACATTCATTGTCCTCTTGGTAAGTACCTCCAGTGTAGATTTGGCCTTGTGTTTTAGTTTACTGTCCTGCTGAAAGGTGAATTAATCTCCCAGGAAAGCACACTGAACCAGGTTTTACTCTAGGATTTTGCCTGTGCTTAGCTCCATTCCGTTTCTTTTTTTATCCTGGAAAAACTCCCTAGTCCTTAATGATTACAAGCATACCCATCACATGATGCAGCCACCACTGTGCCCCAAACATAAGACTTTGTATTCAGGACAAAAAGTTAATTGTTTTGCCACATTTAAGCCAATATTACTTTAGTGCCTTGTTGCAAACAGGATGCATCTTTTGGAATATTTTTTATTCTGTATAGGCTTTTTTCTTTTCACTCTGTCAATTAGGTTAGTATTGTGGAGTACCTACAATGTTGTTGATCCATCCTCAGTGTTATATCATAGCCATTCAACTCTGTAACGGTTTAAATGTCACCATTGGCCTCATGGTGAAATCCCTGAGCGGTTTCCTTACTCTCCGGCAACTGAGTTAGGAAGGACGCCTGTATCTTTGTAGTGACTGGGTGTTTTGATAAACCATCCAAAGTGTAATTAATAACTTCACTATGCTCAAAGGGATATTCAGCTTTTTTTATCTTTACCCATCTACCCTTTAGGTGCCCTTCTTTGCGAGGCATTGGAAAACCTCCCTGGTCTTTCTGGTTGAATCTGTGTTTGAAATTCACTGTTCGACTGAGGGACCTTACAGATAATTTGTATGTGTGGGGTACAGAGGGCGGCAGGTAGCTTAGTGGGTAAGAGCGTTGTGCCAGTAACCGAAAGGTCGCTGGTTCTAATCCCCGAGCAGACTAGGTGAAAAATCTGTCGATGTGCCCTTAAGCAAGGCACTTAACCCTAATTGCTCATGTAAGTCGCTCTGGATAAGAGCGTCTGCTAAATGACTAAAATGTAAAATGTAATGTAAAATGTACAGAGATGAGGTAGTCATTCAAAAATCATGTTAAACACTATTATTGAACACAGAGTGAGTCCATGCAACTCATTATGTGACTTGTTAAGCAAATTTTACTCATGAACTTATTTAGGCTTGCCATAACAAAAGAGGTTGAATACTTATTGACTCAAGACATTTCAGTTTTTATTAACTAATTTGTTTAAAAGAAAGTAAAACCTTATTCCACTGACATTATGGGATATTGTGTGTAGACCAGTGACAAAAAAAATCTTAATTGAATCCATTTTAAATTCAGCCAGTAACACAACAAAATGTGGAAAAAGTCAAGGGGTGTGAATACTTCCTGAAAGCACTGTATATGCAATGGCCACAACGCAACAAGCTGTTCCACAAGGAGCGATAGGAGTGGGAAAAAGGTGCATGTGCATTGATAAGCACACCAAAGACAGCATTAACGATAATTCATAAGATAAAGTCAACACTTCTAAAAGCCTATTTCCCACCATAGCATAATGAATTTGCAAGATACGTTGCCTTTCATTTTGATTTCGGCACAAACTAAAAAGTGGCACTGACTCACCCAAGGATTGATGTTTCAACATTGTCTCAATGAAGAGTTTGGCGTTCGACTAGCCATGTGTGACTTGCACGCTCAGTTAGAAGCCTGCTAGAATTAGCGGGAGGCGGGAGGGTGAGCAATATCCACCGTTGTAGTACGGATGAAGCCTGAGCTGGAATGTGAAGCTAACTGAAGCTGGCTAGATTATAAAAGCCTGAGTAGATCTAGCTTGCGTTGTGATATACCACTCTGGTGACAGACAGTGAGACACACAATGTGACACACACACACACACACACACACACACACTAACCATAATTCCCTTGCATCTCTCTCTGTTAGTCTAATGGCTGGGATGCCAGTGAGATGTTCAACTAGGAGACGTAGAGTCAACTCCACCTATGGCTTCATCTCAATGTACAAGTGAGTATCCTCCCCTCAGCTCCTCAATGTCTTAACATCTCCTCAATCTCTTTTTTAGAAGGTTTAGTAATGCATTATTTGCCTCGACAAGCACCCCATTTCTAACCAGAATACCAGTATTTATACTAGTATACCTTCCTGATAAGACCATCCCTCCCCCCCTCAGTGTTCCTCTGGAGAGAAATGCCTCGGAAGAATGAGACCGTGGGCAACCCCCCAATACCACCACCTCGTCTCAGTGAAGAACGATGAAGGCAAGACTGAGGAGTACAAGTACAGTACGATGGTCTAAGAGAGAGGCGACATGCATGAGTGGTGCCGAGGGCAGGTGGGTCACGAGAGGAATGACAGACATACTGTACACTAATGCATGATCACATACAAACGTGTAACAGAGTTAAAGGAGAAGTTCTGTTTTATCACCAAATTTTATCACTTTTTTTGTGATTTGGCTTGTTTTTGAGAAACTTACCCCAGCCGCTTCTTCACTTCCTCATTGCTCGTTGTGAGGTACCAGGGCACACTAAAGACATGAACAAAAGCAAAAAAACAAAAACAAATATGTCCTTTTAGAAACTGACACTCTCAGTATAGTGATGTAGGTCTTTAGATGTTGTACCCATGAAATTGTGTCATTCCGAACTTCATCCACAACTTTATAGTTCAGAATGACACAATTTAATGTGTACAACATCTAAAGACCTGCATCACTACACTGAGAGCTTTGCCGTTTCTAAAAAGGACGTATTTGGATGTTTTTGGAGACTTTGTTCATGCTTTGTTGGGGCCCCCATACTACACAAAGAGGATGAGGAAGTGATTTGCTGTTTGGGTTTCTCAAAAATCACAAAAAAATAGAGATTTGGTTGTAAAAAAAATACTTATTATTTAATAAAGTGCAGTAAGCTCAATCCACAGCTAGCTTGAAATGTCACAGATGGAGCCATCCAATTGGTACCTTTTGGGTGTCTCAAACCGATAGTACATTGTCAAGGAGGATGGTCAAGTGTATTTCCGAGCAGAGGCTCACTGGTTCGAGCCCAGTGAGTGACAGGGACAGTGGAGGAAAATATACTGCTTTAGCACTACACACCTTTTTCAAATCACACACAAATCATCAACACACTGTGTAGTGCTAGGACAAAAATGTGTACCCCTTTGGGTCCCCAGGACCATGATTAAGAAATGATGTTCCATCTAGACTACTCACATTCCCCACCTCACCTCTTACTGGCTACCGTATGTAGACATGTTCCAACTCTGTGAACACAATGACTATACTTCAATGAATGTTTGTTACGTGTACCTGTTTGTTTCTTTGCTGACCACAAGCATGTAGGTTAGATATGAGAGCATTGCTTAGTTTTTAAGAAGTTTCAGTGTTGCTACAGTTTGCAAACAAAGTAATTGCGACACTATTTATGTTTTTCAGGTGATCATGGTGGCAGTCATCATAGAGATGGACAACTCTGGTCCTCGGAATGCAATTATTTTAATCAGGTGTGTTAGCTGGGGCTGAGGAAGAAGTGTGACACCAATCAGGCCACAGAGGGCTGGAGTACCACGATGAGGATGACCAGATCGAGATGGAATCAACAGACTCGATGCAAGATCCAGACAGGGCTCTCCTGGAGAGTTACCGTCTTGTAGGTGTTCTCCAACCCTAATCTAGTGAACCTGATTCTAATAACTTGCTGGTTGATAAGCTACAGGAGGGTAACTCTCCATGAGATCTGAACCTCCACCTAGTCCCCCAACCCTTTTCTCTTGTAATCTCTCTCCCTCTACTATAGCCGTCTTTGGTGATTGGACTGAGAGGGATGTAAACACAGACAGCTTGCAGCTACCACATTTAACAATGTGTGATTAATACACCCTTACATCATCATTTAAAATAAAGTGAATAATCTTTGTTTCATATTCTTGTTTGTTTGTGCTAAGGAGGTCCAGTAGGTCAATATGAATAGTACTGATGATTTTATTACAATCATGTTGTTAAGGTTGACTTGAGTGAAATATTGTTATGTTTTGGTATTGTAATACTTTCTGTAACTGGTCTCATCACCTGCTGCTTGCATTTCAATAGCTAAGTTGTTTATGAATTACACAATTGTCAGAGGTCAGGATAAGTCAGGCTAAGTCAACAGCCATCTTAGTGCAGAACAACATTGCCTGGACACGTATTATTTGGGGTTACTCAAAATAACATTGGAGATATGGGCAAAGATTAGCTAATACTGACGATCAAGGTAATAATAGACATAGCTACAGTGGGGGAAAAAAGTATTTAGTCAGCCACCAATTGTGCAAGTTCTCCCACTTAAAAAGATGAGAGAGGCCTGTAATTTTCATCATAGGTACACGTCAACTATTACAGACAAAATGAGAAAAAAATTACATTGTAGGATTTTTTATGAATTTATTTGCAAATTATGGTGGAAAATAAGTATTTGGTCAATAACAAAAGTTTCTCAATACTTTGTTATATACCCTTTGTTGGCAATGACACAGGTCAAACGTTTTCTGTAAGTCTTCACAAGGTTTTCACACACTGTTGCTGGTATTTTGGCCCATTCCTCCATGCAGATCTCCTCTAGAGCAGTGATGTTTTGGGGCTGTCTCTGGGCAATACGGACTTTCAACTCCCTCCAAAGATTTTCTATGGGGTTGAGATCTGGAGACTGGCTAGGCCACTCCAGGACCTTGAAATGCTTCTTACGAAGCCACTCCTTCATTGCCCGAGCGGTGTGTTTGGGATCATTGTCATGCTGAAAGACCCAGCCACGTTTCATCTTCAATGCCCTTGCTGATGGAAGGAGGTTTTCACTCTAAATCTCACGATACATGGCCCCATTCATTCTTTCCTTTACACGGATCAGTCGTCCTGGTCCCTTTGCAGAAAAACAGCCCCAAAGCATGATGTTTCCACCCCCATGCTTCACAGTAGGTATGGGGTTCTTTGGATGCAACTCAGCATTCTTTGTCCTCCAAACACGACGAGTTGAGTTTTTACCAAAAAGTTCTATTTTGGTTTCATCTGACATTCTCCCAATCCTCTTCTGGATGATCCAAATGCACTCTAGCAAACTTCAAACGGGCCTGGACATGTACTGGCTTAAGCAGGGGGACACGTCTGGCACTGCAGGATTTGAGTCCCTGGCGGCGTGGTGTGTTACTGATGGTAGGCTTTGTTACTTTGGTCCCAGCTCTCTGCAGGTCATTCACTAGGTCCCCCCGTGTGGTTCTGGGATTTTTGCTCACCGTTCTTGTGATCATTTTGACCCCACGGGGTGAGATCTTGCGTGGAGCCCCAGATCGAGGGAGATTATCAGTGGTCTTGTATGTCTTCCATTTCCTAATAATTGCTCCCACAGTTGATTTCTTCAAACCAAGCTGCTTACCTATTGCAGATTCAGTCTTCCCAGCCTGGTGCAGGTCTACAATTTTGTTTCTGGTGTCCTTTGACAGCTCTTTGGTCTTGGCCATAGTGGAGTTTGGAGTGTGACTGTTTGAGGTTGTGGACAGGTGTCTTTTATACTGATAACAAGTTCAAACAGGTGCCATTAATACAGGTAACGAGTGGAGGACTGCTCAGCTGTCTCCTGAGTGGCGCAGTGGTCTAAGACACTGCATCGCAGTGCTAACTGTGCCACTAGAGATCCTGGTTCGAATCCAGGCTCTGTCGCAGCCGGCCGCGACCGGGAGACTCATGGGCGGCGCACAATTGGCCCAGCGTCGTCCAGGGTAGGGGAGGGAATGGCCGGCAGGGATGTAGCTCAGTTGATAGAGCATGGCGTTTGCAACGCCAGGGTTGTGGGTTCGTTTCCCACGGGGGGCCAGTATAAAAAAATATGTATTCACTAACTGTAAGTCGCTCTGGATAAGAGCGTCTGCTAAATGACTAAAATGTAAATGTAATGTAAAATGAGGACAGAGGAGCCTCTTAAAGAAGTTACAGGTCTGTGAGAGCCAGAAATCTTGCTTGTTTGTAGGTGACCAAATACTTATTTTCCACCATAATTTGCAAATAAATTCATTAAAAATCCTACAATGTGATTTTCTGGATTTTTTTTTCTCAATTTGTCTGTCATAGTTGACGTGTACCTATGATGAAAATTACAGGCCTCTCATCTTTTGGGAGATACTTTTTTTCCCCCACTGTATAACATTCTACTTTGTTTGATGAAACTGTCGCGGCATTATGCTATTGTATGTAATTTGAGCATTGGTTTGATTAGCTAACATAGCTAACTAGCTAGCTAGCTACAGTGGAGAGGTCGATTTGATGCAACAAAATGAACGGTTGTAGCCGGTCTGAGCTCATGCCTGTTAGATAGTTAATCTATCTTGAATTTAATTGTGAACATGGCTGAGATAATTGAACAAAATAAGTTTGTTGAGGGTCAATGTTGTCAAGGTAAAATTAGTTCGCTGTCCAGCTAGCCAACTTGTGCTGTAGCTGGGCTGCTTGGATGATACGTGAACCTGGGGCTGTATCGCATTAGTGGAAACCAAGACTGTTCTCAGGGCAGGTTTGCCAGTTTTGACCAGCACAAGTGACTTTTCGTAGCACAGGTTAGGAGAACTCCCTGGACTTTCTTAGTGTCCAGCACGCTTTCTCTGCCTGTTCTGAAAACCTCCAAAACAAAGGTCAACGGAAGGAAGTGGTCATAATTAATCATTCTCTGTGATTTGAGTGTCACTGTTGACAACTTTGTGGAATTTCTTGGAGGTCATTTCAAAAAGTGCCTATTGGATAATGCTAATAAATTAAAAACCCTTTTTGCAAGAAAACTAGTGAACTGATTGCGGCGCCATCTGGTGACCATTTAGGGAATGGAGTTCTCAGCTGAGGTCCCAAACGTCATTCAGGAATATTGTATTGATGAAGAAAAGAGGGGGGGAAAAACTATCGTCATGTCTATAATATTAGTGTAGGGTGAAGTTGCCCTTAGATGCTGACCTTGGGTTAGTTTAGCATTTCCCCCACTAATGGTTCAGGTAAGGAAGGATTGGGGAAGGAGAAGCTGATCCTAGATCTGTACCTAGGGCAAACTTCACCCCAGACTGTATATATTTGTAACAGACAGACCAGCCCAGGTAGCCCTTTGGCCTTCCCTGTTTCGTCAGTTTTCGTCCGTTTAGAGCCTAATGAACACAGCCCAGATGGCTTGGTTGTGAATAGGCCGTAAGCTTCCTGTCCCTGTTTGACACCCGTAGTCTAGTAAATCACCAATCTGGACTGTTTGCAGTGTCCACAAGAAAGTGAAAATGAAATATTCCAACAGCTCTCACAAATGGCATTGTCGAGAACTGGCTCGTTAGTGCCTTCCAAATATTGATGAGTGTAATGAATAGGGCTGTGACGGTCATGGAATTTTGGATGATGGCTATTGGCCAGCCAAATGACTGATAACCATTTCTCTTCTCCTCCACTACCACGTGCATGTGCTGCCATAGAAATAGAATGAATAGAACGGGCGTCCCCATTGAAGTCAATGATGTCATAATGGGTGGACTGGAGGCCATTGCGAGCGTACCCATAGGAGCAAAGAAGGAATTAAAAGCAGGAAGTGTACCCATTAATATGTACTGTGATTTGTTGATTCAACTCAACTGACATTACAAAAAATACATTCCATGCATTAATATAATTTTAATGAACATTCTACATTACCATGGAAATTATTGCATTACAATACCAGGCAGCCATTGTGAGTGTGCCCATGAGTTTACCAGTCAAATTTCCAGGGTTAGAGATTCCAAGCCTGTTCTATTCATTCTATTTCTAGTTTCATTACGTTGTTAAGAGTCCATGTTACAGCAGGAACAGACTCAACCACACGAATGCCTGAGTGAGCTGTTCGTTCCACATATGGCTGTTATTTTATTTTCATGACAGTCTTCATCCCTAACCGTCAGTTACACAGTTATACGGTAATTGTGCCAGCCCTAGTAATATGGGGGATTGGAAGTGATGCAATTACATTTACAATATATCAGTATGAAAAATGTTTGCACTCACCAACTGTAAGTCGCTCTGGATAAGAGCATCTGCTAAATGACTAAAATGTAAATGTAATGAAACGTTACTACCTCCAGCGACATTCACCAGATGCGCCTTTGGTTTGGTTAATTTTTTCTCTAAACCAATTTCTAAATGTGAGAAATAGAGAGACAGATTTTTTATGTTGTTATTTAGCCCAGGGGGTATGCACCTACCTCTGTACACGTGATGGAGGGGCAAAGACACCGTGTTTGGGAGGGCAGCTGAAGTAGTTAACCCCGCCGACCGAGCCATCGTTCTTCCCGCTGGGCTTGTCCAGCTCGATCCCCAGCCAGAACCCTGAGGGATGGATGGATATATGGAAGAAGAGGCAGACAGACGGTCAAGGTCAAGCCATGAATAGAGCAGTGGGACAAGAGACACAAAATTGTGGGTGACTGTGCGCATGTGCGCGAGGAGCGCGCGTGTTTCTGCCAGCCTGCTTGTCTGCTGTGAGTGTCATGAACTTAAAGTCCCACAAGAACAAGTGAATGGCCCTTGAGTGTACTGTACCCTAGCTAAGCTGTATGAAAACATACTGTGTGCAGCTTCTCGAGGCCATCAATACTTCAATGCAAAAATATCACAATGCAAAACAAGAGTAAGTGCATTCATGTAGAATAAATTCTTGCACGCTGTGGCTACAATAACTAATGTAGTCATATTCTTAAACAACTGTCTTCTACGAGATTGATGCATTCCAATGGATGACGTTAAGGACAGATCAACATTTACTGTGTTGAAGGGGTGGTCCAAAATAGGGGAGGGTTGTAAAACGTATTTTTTTGCTTTGAGGTTGGTTGTGTGTTGTTGTTTTTTTTTGGGGGGGGGGGGGGGGGGGGGGGGGGGCACAGGGGAGGGTAGTACGTTTTTTCCCTGGTGTACATTTGCTCTTCTGCTCGTATTTTCCCTATAAACAATGGCTTGACTTACTTTTGATATTACCCTAATAAAAAGTTTAGAAACGTTTGGTATGGTGTGGCAATTATTAAGCTTTAGCAGGCCTATGATATGAAGGCAGTGTGCCCCTGAGCTCCAACTGACTCCGACAGTTGAACTTAAGCTGAGGAAGACTGTTTCAGGCCTACCAGAGTTACTACTATAATCTAACAATATAATGCTTATCTTTATACAAATTATTCGGATTTAAAATTAATTAATTACCCTCCTGTGTATGTCTATATCTGTATAGCAGACGCAGTAGCCATCTGAGAAATGCATGTCGGTTTCGTAGCATGCCACCGGCATATCTCTATCTCTCTGGGGTTAGGCCTAAGCTTATCTTCATTTATATAGGATATACAGTATCTCACAAAAGTTAGTACACCCCTCACATTTTTGTTAATATTTGAGTATATCTTTTCATGTGACAACACTGAAGAAATTACACTTTGCTACAATGTAAAGTAGCGAGTGTACAGCTTGTGTAACAGTGTAAATTTGCTGTCCCCTCAAAATTACTCAACACACAGCCATTAATGTCTAAACTGCTGGCAACAAAAGTGAGTACACCCCTAAGTGAAAATGTCCAAATTGGACCCAAAGTGTCAATATTTTGTGTGGCCACCATCATTTTCCAGCACTGCCTTAACCCTCTTGGGCATGGAGTTCACCAGAGCTTCACAGGTTGCCACTGGAGTCCTCTTCCACTCCTCCATGACGGCATCACAGAGCTGGTGGATGTTAGAGACCTTGCACTCCTCCACCTTCCGTTTGAGGATGGCCCACAGATGCTCAATAGGGTTTAGGTCTGGGGACATGCTCGGCCAGTCCATCACTTTTACCCTCCGCTTCTTTAGCAAGGCAGTGGTCGTCTTGGAGGTGTGTTTGGGGTCGTTATCATGTTGGAATAGTGCCCTGCAGCCCAGTCTCCGAAGGGAGGGGATCATGCTCCGCTTCAGTATGTCACAGTACATGTTGGCATTCATGGTTCCCTCAATGAAACTGTAGCTCCGCAGTGCCGGCAGCACTCATGCAGCCCCAGACCATGACACTCCCACCACCATGCTTGACTGTAGGCAAGACACACTTGTCTTTGTACTCCTCACCTGGTTGCCGCCACACACGCTTGACACCATCTGAACCAAATAATTGTATCTTGGTCTCATCAGACCACAGGACATGGTTGCAGTAATCCATTACCTTAGTCTGCTTGTCTTCAGCAAACTGTTTGCAGGCTTTCTTGTGCATCATCTTTAGAAGAGGCTTCCTTCTGGGACGACAGCCATGCAGACCAATTAGATGCAGTGTGCGGCGTATGTTCTGAGCACTGACAGGCTGACCCCCCACCCCTTCAACCTCTGCAGCAATGCTGGCAGCACTCATACGTCTATTTCCCAAAGACAACCTCTGGATATGACGCTGAGCACGTGCACTCAACTTCTTTGGTCGACCATGGCGAGGCCTGTTCTGAGTGGAACCTGTCCTGTTAAATCGCTGTATGGTCTTGGCCACCGTGCTGCAGCTCAGTTTCAGGGTCTTGGCAATCTTCTTATAGCCCAGGCCATCTTTATGTAGAGCAACAATGATTTTTTTCAGATCCTCAGAGAGTTCTTTGCCATGAGGTGCCATGTTGAACTTCCAGTGACCAGTATGAGGGAGTGTGAGAGCGATGACACCAAATTTAACACACCTGCTCCCCATTCACACCTGAGACCTTGTAACACTAACGAGTCACATGACACCGGGGAGGGAAAATGGCTAATTGGGCCCAATTTGAACATTTTCACTTAGGGGTGTACTCACTTTTGTTGCCAGCGGTTTAGACATGAATGGCTGTGTGTTGAGTTATTCTGAGGGGACAGCAAATTTACACTGTTATACAAGCTGTACACTCACTACTTTACATTGTAGCAAAGTGTCATTTCTTCAGTGTTGTCACATTAAAATATATACTCAAATATTTACACAAATGTGAGGGGTGTACTCACTTTTGTGAGATACTATATATATATATATATATATATATATATATATATATATATATATATATATATATATATATATATATATATATACACAGTACCAGTCAAAAGTTTGGACACACCTACTCATTCCAGGGTTTTTCTTAATTTTTTACTATTTTCTACATTGTAGAATAATAGTGAAGACATCACAACTATGAAGTAACACATTTGGAATCATGTAGTACCCCAAAAAGTGTTAAATCAAAATATATTTTATATTTGAGATACTTCAAAGTAGCCAAACTTTGCCTTGATGACAGCTTTGCACACTCTTGGCATTCTCTCAACCACCTTCACCTGGAATACTTTTCCAACATCTTGAAGGAGTTCCCACATATGCTGAGCACTTGTTGGCTGTCGGTCTTCACTATTATTCTACAATGTAGAAAATAGTAAAAATAAAGAAAAACCCTTGAATGAGTAGGTGTGTCCAAACTTTTGACTGGTACTGTATATACTGAACAAATATATAAACGTAACATGAAACAATTTCATTGATGTTACAGTTCATATGAGGAAATCAGTCAATTTAAATAAATTCATTAGGCCCTGATCTATGGATTTCACATGACTGAGAAAATACAGATATGCATCCGTTGGTCACAGATACCTTTGAAAAAAAAAAAAAAGGGCCTCAGGATCTCGTAACTGTATTTTTGTGCATTCAAATGGACATAGATCAAATGCAATTGTGTTCGTTGTCCATAGCTTATGCCTGCCCAGACAATAACCCCACCGCCATCATGGGTCACTCGCCCACACAACGCCATACACGTGGTCTGTGGTTCTGAGGCCTGTTGGACGTACGGCCAAATTCTCTAAAACGACGTTGGCGGCTTATGGTAGAGAAATTAACATTCAATTCACTGTCAACCGCTCTGGTGGACATTCCTGCAGTCAGCATGCCAATTGCACACTCCCTCAAAACCTCAGACATCTGTAGACATCTGTGGCATTGTGTTGTGTGACAAAACTGCACATTTTAGAGTGGCCTTTTATTGTCCCCAGCACAAGGTGCACCTGTGTAATGATCATGCCGTTTAATCAGCTTCTTGATATGCCACACCTGTCAGGTGGATGGTTTATCTTGGCAAAGGACAAATGCTTACTAACAGGGATGTAAACAGATTTGTGCACACAATTTGAGAGAAATACGCTTTTTGTACGTATGGAACATTTCTGGGAACTTTTATTTCAGCTCATGAAACATGGGATCAACACTTTACATGTTGCGTAAAAAAAATTTTTCAGTGTCTATATAGACAGACAGACAGACAGACAGTATATATACAAAGTATGTAGACACCCCTTTAGTGGATTTGGTTATTTCAGCTATTTCAGCCACACCCGTTGCTAACAGGCGCATAAAAATCATCTGTCCTCGGTTGCAACACTCACTACCGAGTTCCAAACTGCCTCTGGAAGCAACGTCAGCACAAGAACTGTTCGTCGGGAGCGTCATGAAATGGGTTTCCATGGCCAAGCAGCCGCACACAAGTGCAATGCCAAGCGTCACCATGTGCAATGCCAAGCGTCGGTTGGAGTGGTGTAAAGCATTGGACTCAGGAGCAGTGGAAATGCGTTCTCTAGAGTGATGAATCACACTTCACCATCTGGCAGTCCAACGCACGAATCTGGGTTTGGCAGATGCCAGAAGAACGCTACCTGCCCCAATGCATAGTGCCAACTGTAAAGTTTGGTGGAGGAGGAATAATGGTCTGGGGCTGTTTTTCATGGTTCGTGCTAGGCCCCTTAGTTCCAGTGAAGGGAAATCTTAACGCTACAGCATACAATGACATTCTAGACAATTCTGTGCTTCCAACTTTGTGGCAAAAGTTTGTGGAAGGCCCTTTCCTGTTTCAGCATGACAATGCCACCATGCACAAAGCGAAGTTTGTTGAGATCGGTGTGGAAGAACTTGACTGGCCTGCACAGAGCCCTGAGCTCAACCCCATTGAACACCTTTGGGATGAATTGGAACGCCGACTGCGAGCCAGGCCTAATCGCCCAACATCAGTGCCCGACCTCATTAATGCTCTTGTGGCTGAATGAAAGTCCCCCGCAGCAATGTTCCATAATCTTTTCGAATATTCACTTGAAAATCTGTCGCCAATTGGATGGAAACCTAGCTATAGTCACCCTAAAGGCTGGCAAGTGCGCTAATCCAGTGTCACTTTGATTATGCCTGCACATCATTGTTCACCAGCAGCCCCAAACATCAAAAGAATAAGCTACCAGCCAAACAAGCTTGTAATAATTGTACTTAAACTCCCCCCTCATACTCATCCGGAGGTTGATCATTTTTTTGTCTCCATCTCTGTAATCTCTTTATTGTGGTGTTAAAAACACTTAACCAGCATGGCTACCACAGCATTCTGCAGCGATACGCCATCTCATCTGGTTTGGGCTTAGTGGGACTATCATTTGTTTTTCAACAGGACAATGACCCAACACACCTCCAGGCTGTGTAAGGGCTATTTTACCAAGAAGGAGAGTGATGGTGTGCTGCATCAGATGACCTGGCCTCCACAATCCCCTGACCTCAACCCAATTGAGATGGTTTGGGATGAGTCGGACGGCAGAGTGAAGGAAAAGCAGCCAACAAGTGCTAAGCATATGTGGGAACTCCTTCAAGACTGTTGGAAAAGCATTCCAGGTGAAGCTGGTTGAGAGATTGCTATTTGAAGAATATCAAATATAAAATTTGTTTAACACTTTTTTGGTTACGACATGATTCCATATGTGTTATTTCATAGTTTTGATGTCTTCACTATTACTCTACAATGTAGAAAATAGTAAAAAATAAAGAAAAACCCTGGAATTAGTAGGTGTGTCCAAACCTTTGACTGGTACTGTATATATATATATTTTTTTTTTACATGAAGGTTACTCTTTAAAAGACCAAATATATAGGAGTATATTCCACCTTACATGCAACCTAAGATACTTTCTCATATAAATTGTAAAACGTTCCATAACATATCTCTTGCCTTTGTTACTGCTTATGAAATGTTTATTAAAATGTTATTTGGTTAAAAGAAAGTAAACTGTGCCCTTCTATAAATCTCTTGAATGGAGGTTTGTTGAGAAACTGTGACAATGGAACTTCACTTTCACTTTCACGACAGAACATCTGGCCCTTCACCTTGAAAATGACTGAATGAAGAGAAAACTAACTGTGTTTGCACCGAAGTTGTTCCAATGACAGACAGACCTGCCCAAAGCCTATACACTCCACTTAATAGTACCCGGTTAGTTCTGGCTTCTGTGTATCTAAAGGATTGATACTGCGGAGTAGAGTCCCAAGAACACTTCAAGTAAAGTGTTACCAAACATTTTCTCCTGTGGAGAGTTTAAAACACAAGTACTGAATCAACAGAAAACACAATCATAGCTATATTTATGTAGATGATAAACAGTGGGGTCTGAAATTATAGACACCCTTGATAAAGATAAGCAATAATGACTGTATAAAATAAATAGTTAAAATACTGAGCTACAGTGCATTTGGAAAGTATTCAGACCCCTTGACTTTTTCCACCTTTTGTTACATTACAGCCTTATTCTAAAATGGATTAAATTGTTTTCCCCCCCTCATCAATCTACACACAATACCCAATATTGACAAAGCAAAAACTGGTTTTTAGAAATGTTTGCAAATGTATTAATAATAAAAAACTGAAATATCACATTTACATAAGTATTCAGACCCTTTACTCAGTACTTTATTGATGCACCTTTGGCAGAAGATTACAGCCTTGAGTCTTCTTGGGTATGACGCTACAAGCGTGGCACACCTGTATTTGGGGAGTTTCTCCCATTCTTCTCTGCAGATCCTCTCAAGCTCTGTCAGGTTGGATGGGGAGCGTCACTGCACAGCTATTTTCAGGTCTCTCCTGAGATGTTTGATCGGGTTCAAGTCCGGGCTCTGGCTGGGCCACTCAAGGACATTCAGAGACTTGTCCCGTAGCCACTCCTGAGTTGTCTTGGCTGTGTGCTAAGGGTCATTGTCCTGTTGGAAGGTGAACCTTCGCTCCAGTCTGAGGTCCTGAGCGCTCTGGAGCAGGTTTTCATTAAGGATCTCTCAGTACTTTCTTCTGTTCATCTTTCCCTCAATCCTGACTAGTCTCCCAGTCCCAGCCACCGAAAAACATCTACCATAAAGGCCTCATTGGTGGAGAGCTGCAGAGATGGTTGTCCTTCTGGAAGGTTTTCCCATCTCCACAGAGGAACTCTGGAGCTCTATCAGAGTGACCATCAGGTTCTTGGTCACCTACCTAACCAAGGCCCTTCTCCCCCGATTGCTCAGTTTGGCTGGGGGGGGGCCAGCTCTAGGAAGAGTCTTGGTGGTGCCAAACTTCTTCCATTTAACAATGATCGAGGCCAGTTTGTTCTTGGGGACCTTCAATGCTGGATAATTCTTTTGGTACCCTTCCCCAGATCTGTCCCTCGACACAATCCTGTCTCGGAGCTCTACGGACAATTCCTTTGACCTCATGACTTGGTTTTTGCTCTGACATGCACTGTCAACTGTGGGACCTTATATAGACAGGTCTGTGCCTTTCCAAATTGTGTCCAATCAATTGAATTTACCACAGGTGGACACCAATCAAGTTGTAGAAACATCAAGGATGATCAATGGAAAAAGGATGCACCTGAGCTCAATTTCGAGTCTCAAAGCAAAGGGTCTGAATACTTATGTAATTAAGTAAGGTATTCATTTTTATATATATAATTAGCAAACATTTCTAAAAACCAGTTTTTGCTTTGTCATTATGGGGTATTGTGTGTAGATTGACGAGGGAAAAAATATATTTTAGAATGAGGCTGTAACATAAAAAGTCAAGGGGTCTTAATACTTTCCGAATGCACTGTATATTGTATGGTAAAAAAAAATCGGAAATTATATTTTATACTAATACAATTGCTCAGAGAAAAATATTTTGTTTAACAGTAATACTTTTTTCCTTAAAAAAGGTAGGGTCAAAATTGACACCCCTAACGATTCTTATGAATAAAGTATTCAAAAGTTTAGCACTTGGTCCCATATTCCTAGCACACAATGACTACATCAAGCTTGTGACTCTACAAACTTGTTGGATGCATTTGCGGTTCGTTTTGGTTGTGTTTCAGATTATTTTGTGCCCAATAGAAATGAATGGTAAATAATGTACTGTGTTATTTTGGAGTCACTTTTATTATAAATAAGAATATAATATGTTTCTAAACACATCTACATTAATGTGGATGCTACCATGATTACAGATAATCCTGAATGAATCATAAATAATGATGAGTGAGAAAGTTAGAGGGTCAAAGATCATACACCCAAGAGATACTAACCTCTCAACATAACCAATAATGGTTAGCATAGAGTTTGGTAGAATCTTATTCAAAATTATTCACAGCAGTAATGGCTTCCAAAGGTGCTTCCATCAAGCATTAACTCTGGGCAATCAAGACATCTAAAAATACAAAATAAAAATAAACTATTCATTAGGAAAATGTTCTAGAATTTTATTTCACTTTCAACATTTAGAGTAGGTTGTGTCGATCTGTAGGAAAAAAATCAAATGTAATCCCTTTTTAGATTTAATTTTAAGGCAAAAAAATGTGAAGACTGTGCAAGGGGTGTGTAGACTTTCAGTAGACAATGTATATTACGTATCATGTATACATTGCATAATCCATATTGCTAATGGGGAGGTCAAGTGATGCTGCTGCCACTATTACTCAATGCTAATGAAAATGTCCAATGCAACCGCAATCCCTACGTAAAGAACATGTGTTAAGAGCATGACTTCAATATACTTTCAACAATTTGCCATACACTTAAAACCAGCTTTGTTTGTTTCTGACTTTGTGAACATGCTTAAATTACAAATTGTTAACCCTGATTAAGGAAGCTTGTAGGAAATGCCTTGGCATGGCCTTTGCATGGCAACAGAAGTACAAACAAGTGAGAACACAAATATACAGTACTATGATGCTTAATATTATGTATGATGATACTACATGCAGTAGAGAATTTAACCCCGGGGATTGCTCATAGGTATAATCTCAAAGCAGCCTCAAAAACCAGACCGTAGGCAACAGTGACTAGGGTCTGGTTTCAATGACAGATTATTTTGGCCACTTCAAAAAAATGATGAGAATAAAAATATCTGAGGTTGTCTTCTTCAGACAGCCAACTCTCCCAACAAATCATGGGTGTGGCAAGGCAGACCTTAAAATGCGAGGCGGAACTGTGCTCATGAAAAATCATCACCTCGGAAACATGTATTTTGTGTCCTTTTTTTCAGTTGTTTTATCTCGAGCTCCATATCGACTTCCATCTTCTCACTCGTTCTTCAACGTCCTCCTCCTCAATCCCTGCACTATCGCCCTCATTTGTCTCCATCATGCAACATTTTAGAACGACATTTTGAAATGTGCTGCAGCACGCTGGTTTTCACAGCATTTCTCTGTTGTTTTGAGATGAGCTAAAGCTACAGCAAGAGGGGAGAAATGTTCTACAATGCTGGCCATAAATATTTTGCCGTTTCTGAAGTGATATTTGGCTGTGTACATGCTAGCAAGAGTGAAATGAAGTAGCTAGCCACAATGAGGTTTGTTTTGAGAAAAGTCAGCTAACCTTGTAAGCTACATAGGTATAATTAGGTAGCTACTAGCTAGTTAATTTTCTCTCAGGATTACAAAGCCAACAAAATGTTGATAAAAATAGTATATTATTGACCTAAAAGGTTAGCCGTGTTAGCCCAGTCTTTAGCTTATCCAGGGTCAGTGATACATAGAGCAACCATGTACTGTCTATGGGAACAACTGCAACCTCAAGGATTTATTTCCAGAGAGACATCAAGGCCTGTAACATACTCTGTTTCACGCAAACATGGCTCTCTTGGGATATTCTGTCGGAATCGGTCCAGCCAGAGGGGTTCTCAGTTCATCGCGCAGACAGGAATAAATATCTCTCAGGGAAGCAGAAGGGCGGGGGTGTGTGTTTCATGATTAACAACTCATGGTGTAATTGTAGTAACATACAGGAACTCAAGTCCTTCTGTTCACCCGACCTAGAATTTCTCACAATCAAATGCAGACCGTATTATCTCCCAAGATAATTTCATTTGGTTATAGTCACGGCCGTGTATATCCCCCCTCAAGCCGATACCACGATGGCCCTCAAAGAACTTCACTGGACCTTATGCAAATTGGAAACCACATATCCTGAGGCTACATTTATTGTAGCCGGGGATTTTAACAAAGCAAATTTGAGGACTAGGCGGCCGAAGTTCTATCAACATATCGACTGTTGTACTCGTGCTGCCAAAAACCTCGACCATTGCTATTCGAACTTCCGGGATGGTTATAAGGCCCTCCCACGACCTCCTTTCGGCAAATCTGACCATGACTCCATTTTGCTTCTCCCATCCTATAGGCAGAAACTCAAACAGGAAATACCCGTGCTAAGGACTATTCAACGCTGGTCTGACCAATCGGAATCCACGCTTCAAGATTGTTTTGATCACGCGGACTGGGATATGTTCCGGGTAGCTTCTGGAAATAATTTTAACGAATACACTGAAACTGTGAGTGAGTTTATCAGGAAGTGTATAGGTGATGCTGTGCCCACTGTGACTATTAAAACCTTCCCTAACAAGAAACCGTGGATAGAGGGCAGCATTCACGCTAATCTAAAAGCACGAACCACCGCATTCAACCATGGCAAGGTGACTGGGAATATGGCAGAATACAAACAGTGCAGCTACTCACTCCGCAAGGCAATTAAACTGGCAAAACATTAGTATAGAGACAAAGTGGAGTCGCAATTCAACGGCTCAGACACAAGACATATGTGGCAGGGTCTACAGACAATCACGGACTACAAAAGGAAAACCAGCCACGTCACCGACATCTTGCTTCCGGACAAGCTAAACACCTTCTTCGTCCGCTTTGAGGATAACACAGTGCCACTGACGAGGCCCACTACCAAGGACTGTGGCCTCTCCTTCTCCATGGCCGACGTGAGTAAGACATTTAAGCGTGTTAACCCTCACAAGGCTGCCGGCCCAGATGGCATCCCTAGCCGCGTCCTCAGAGCATGCGCATACCATCTGGCTGGTGTGTTTACGGACATATTCAATCTCTCCCTTTCCCAGTCTGCTGTTCCCACATACTTCAAGATGGCCACCATTGTTCCTGTACCGAAGAAAGCAAAGGTAACTGAACTAAATGACTATCACCCTGTAGCACTCACCTCTGTCATCATGAAGTGCTTTGAGAGACTAGTCAAGGATCATATCACCTCTACCTTACCTGTCACCCTAGACCAACTCCAT